GATGACAAACGCATTTGTGTTTTTATGCGCTCACGGTGACCATATGGTAGGAATACTCCCCAGGGAGTGGAGATGGTGCACATTGTGCGTAAATGAATACGATGACTGGGGTAATAATATCTGTAAAAGCGCTTAGAGATGGTATTCTGTATAAAGGGCTATATAAATCCAGATTATATTATTACATTTTTATGTGTGGATGCGTAATTCTTTATTCTTCAAGTTTCATATAAATTTTCTACAGTCTGAACAGGTCGTGCACCCCCCCCCCCCCCCCCTCTCCCTAGACACACAGTGTAACTAGAGCTGCCCCATTCATTAAAGGCTTGGTCCCTCCGGTGTAATGTAGGTCACATATTTCACACCCTTTAACCCAATGAATTTGACCTCCTCTCTTTGGGATGGGTCCTCTTCCCACTGGTAGGCAAATAGAAACTGAACTATGAATGAATGAAAGGTCCCCCTGCTGACAGGGAGGGAACTCCTGCCCCAAATATGCTTTGCAGAAGAGCATGGGAAACATATACACAATTCGTCCTTGTTTTCACGAAGTGACGGTAGTGAGGAAAATCGTAACGCAAAGTGAATGCAATTTTTTTTCACAACCGTCACTTTGTGAAAACAGCGACGAATTGTACAACATTGAATATGGAATCTTGTATTACAGTGGAACCTTGATGGTGAAAATATACAGTTTTTAGAATTGTACAACATTGAATATGGAATCTTGTATTACTTTCTTTTTCATAATGGCAGATACAGCACCAATCCATACCATGGCAAAGCTAAACAAAAAAAAATTAATTCCAATTCATGTAGAATTGTCTGCCTTGTATGCTTGGCATGGATAGCACATTATTTTTTTCTTTTGTTGATCATGAGCAATTTCTGAAAACAAACAACATTAATATGCTTTTCGTGGTATATTTAAATGTGGGTTGTATCAAAACAAGTCATTTATTAACGTAACTTGTAAAGGTTGAAAAACCACACACGTTAATTATGTCAAATAAGATTGATTGAAAAACACTAATGGGCCGTTTCAACAAATATTTAAAATATATATATATATATATATATATATATTTCAAGCTTTATTCAATTAAAAAAGCTATTGTGTCTTCAAGGAATTCATCGTTTATTGATTTCAGTATATTTTGTGGGATAAATTGGGAGAAAACATGAAAAAGATACAAATTTCTGCAAGGCAAATTCTTCAGTAATGTTTGTTTGTCTAAATGATATTAATTGAATTTTGTAAGGGCAAGGATATATTTTTTCAACTTGGCATATTTTGCCCAAGGTAAGAAAGAGGATTTCTCATCGTGGTTAATACCCTCGTGGGAAAAGTACCGCCCACAGGTCTGTAACAAAGCTTCTGTCTCTAAACATTTCTGAAATTGAAATACTGAGATGCATTTCAAGGAGCTTTCATACTTTTGATTTAAATCTGGCCATCATCGAGCTTGGTTTATAACCCTACATGTATAATATCTAAAATTTTAACATGCTTTGGAATAATTGAAGTTCTGAAATGTGGTTCTGAGCAGAGTTGGACTTATTAATTATGGAAAGCCGTTAGCATCTATTAAAATATTTTGTACAAGTTATTTTAAAAGGCATAAAATGTTGATTCAAATCGTTCATATTTTCTATTATCAAGGAGATTTCATGTCCTTGATGTGGAATAAATAACAAATCTAAAATACTTGAATTTTCGCTTTTGAATATATATTTTGTTAAGGCTTCAGATGGCTTTCCATGATTTTTAAGTCGAACTTAGAGATAAGTTCGACTTACAATCTTTGTGAAACACCCCCCTGGAATTTTCTCTATTGATTTATTGTTATTAGTTCTACGTTTCTGTTATGTTTTAACTTACATTTAACTTTCCAATCAATATAAAATCACAAACAATTTTCGATTTAAATAAATCAATGCAATTTAAAGTGTACTGCTGAGTTTAAAATGTAGGCCTACTTCTACATGTAGATATGCATATGGATAGATTTCTGTGTGTCCTGTTTAAGCTCAGCACCACAAAAAAAAAAGAAGAAAAAAAAGAAAGCCCCAAATAAACAAAGACAAATTTGTAAGGTGAAGGACTGCTCTTGAAGCAGAATATTAAAGTGAAGTGTGGACAGCCCCTATTCCTCCTACACAAAATCATTATCACCCCCATGTTTTGAATGTAGCCGTATGGATTATAATCGCCTTGTGTTTGCATAAGGAATTCACCCACGTACCTGAGAGTGTTCGAAACGTTGAAATTTTACCGTAAAAGGTGTCAACTTGTGAAGATATCGAATGAAAACAGAATGACGGGTCCAGCATTCATTAACCTATATTTTAGGCATACCTGTCAGAGATATGCTAATAGAAATTAGAAATTATTTAAGATGGTGGCTTAGGCGTCCCATTGGGTACTGAATCATAGGGTGCCTGCAGTGGACCTGTGGTGTCATGTTCCCCATCTTTCCATTCTCCCCATTTTTTTTCTTTTTCTATATAAATCAAGATCAAATTTAAGTTCTTAAAGATATTTACAGGTAGTGCATAGACAGATATCTCGGATCTCCCTGTTGAATATCTTGCCGAATGAAAACGTTTTGGATGCTAATTCGTAAATGCGGGTTTTTGCAAGGATATTGAATATTTATTAGTTTGTGATATTTCAGCTTGAATCTACTTTCGATCTAAGCCTCCTATGAGGGCAGCACATAAGAAGAGATGAACAATTTTCCTCTTTTCAGTTTTGAGAACATTTAATTAATGTGAACAGTTATCTTCAACGGTTTTTACCTCAGGGGGAAAGTACGTTTGGAAAAATATAAAACTGAAAATGTGAACAGTGCTTTTGAAAGTGCTACTTTTTGTCATGAGGAGAACAATCGTTTTCTGTTTTCGAAATTGAAGACCCATGGGAGTTTTTTCCCCCTCAGAAATATGAGATTCATGTCAGATTGATGAAGGCGTGCGTGATCATGAGATCGGTGTCTGCAACACCTACAATAGGTGAAGATAATTTTCCCATGCGAATAGATTCTTTCAATAAACTTGTGCCATATCATGCTTCCTCTGCAGATGTGCTTAATTTTGAAGTTAACATAATCGGGTTAGGGTTAAGGGTTAGATATAGTGTCTACGTTTGAATTTCTCAGCTTTGTTAGTGATTAAAATTAACAGCAGAGCAGTTATCATACGATGTGTCATGTAACCCCTTATACAAGTGACTGTTCTTTCATGCAATATACTTGAGGGCAAGGCACTTGAAAGTTCACTTTGGAAGGAAGGAATTTGGAAGTGTCAAGTGTCTTGTAATAACTTGTGAAGTTATGAATGAAACTATTGACTTCCAAAGAGAAAAGCCATTTTTGTTGGAATGTATTTCTCAGCTTGACATGTGTGGACACAGCTAGCATAAGTTTTTTTTCTGTAATTTTGATCTGTATAATATTGTGTATGTGGATGAGGGGGGATGGGAGTTGGTATTAAAGCAAGTAACTTTCTTGTGAAAAGTTTACCAACTTATTAGCCTTTCTTGGATCTTAGATTCGATTCCTCCTGAATACTCAAAAAAAGAGTTTTGACTGGATTTTTTTCCCCTCATTTTCTTCTCTGTCCTTCACTTTATTGCTCTCCCATATGTTACATGTATTAGCCCTTTCCAGTTTACTCTCACTGCTACTTTCAATTAGTTTTCCTGGATTCTCAGTTAATCTATTTTTTTTAATTTCTCAGCGATATGTCCCATCTAATTGAGATGTGGACATAGCACTTGACCTGGCTGAGTTCCGACATCCGTACGAATGTTTGCATGACCACCGTGTGATTTCAGAAGGCACTTAATTATGCTGGCGCCATTCTGAATGGGAACAATACTATGTGTTTACATTCTGGAATCTCAAGAAGTATTTACTGTTGTACTCAAATGTTATTAGGATGGAGTAGGTCTAATTAAAAAGGTTGTCTTTTGTAGTTTATTTATAAATTGCCTGTGTAATTATAATATTTATAAAGCCCTGTAGCTATTGTATTCATTGCCTTTTCTCATTGTCATCTTCATCATCGTCGTCGTCGTCATCAACATCTTCATAATCATCATCACCATCATATCATTAACGTCATCATCATTAACATCATCATCGTCATTGTCATTATCAATTCAACACAAAATTGTTGGATCTTTTTCAACCTCAGATTAGCATTCTTTGATAAAAGAACCCAAGAAGGTCTCCCAACAATTGTTTCCAACAAACAGAATCAATAAAGTTTCCATATTTGAAGAGTAGCATTGACTTCATGTATGTACAGATGTCAACTTTCTGGTTTTCATAAGTACATTAATAACAAAATTAATTATCACTTGAACTAGTCTGGTTGGAATCGATCCGACAGAGAAGTTGTTTATTGGAAGCCCAGTGTGTAAGAGAGTCACCACTTATGAAAAACAGCAACCCGATTCCCCCTTTGTATATTAAGAGTAGGGGAAAACCCCAGCGTAGTGTTACACCTGCACATCCCACGCGAGGGTATTGTGATTACATGTACGGTTCGCTTCCCCCCTTCTAGGCAGAGATGATGATGCTGAAAGAATTAATAACAATCATAATGTTACCTATTAAATAGTCATGTACACGGGATGCCCAAGTTCTGCAGTAGGCAGTGGTGTGAACAGTATGATTGTGGTGCTCTCACCATGCTATAGAGGTGGTGCACTTACCCCTAGAAAGGGAGGGGTGATATTGGAACACCCCCTCCCTCACAAGAAATTAAAAATTAAAATTGAATAAAAAATGTCCCTACCTGAATGTTTGTTGTCATGTCACTGCATTCATACTGATGAAGCTTTGAGTCAGGCGTACTTTATTACCTGTATTTGAAGTTCATTTTTTTAATATAGTATATTGATGTGGATTTCTAGTGTATTAAACTAGTATTAAAAATGAATTATACCATCCTACAATAATTTTTCTCTTTTGTCTGTTTATTTTTTACAGTAATAGTCTTCATCAGACACTGACAGACCTGAAGCCTGCTACTGAGTACCAACTAAGGTAAGAATAGTTTGAAATATAATTATCAAACTTGATTAGAACAATGATATACCCCTATCCATCCAACCATACACACCCACCCTGAAAATGAAATTATCTTTGGTGAAATAGAATACTGTAAAAAACAGAAAATTCTGTGATTGGTATTAGAAGAACATTGCTATTTAAGGCAAGAAAGAGAGAAACTTTTGCAAATTTCAAAAATTCATTGTTGCATCGCTAGTGTTTCAGTTATTTTACAGCATGAAGTATTTTGTGACATATATTTGGAGAATCTTAACCATCTGTGAAAGTTGCGCACATTTCATACCAGTGAACATTTCTGATAAGCAAAAGTTTCTTGTTTTTCAGCATTACTAGCCTATAGGTGCGTGCGAACATTACAGAGTGAATACAATATACATTGCATATTGCTGCCAGGGGGGGGGGGGGCAGACCATTATGGATTGTTTATTATCATTGCGTAAAAGTTTTCATGTCTGGGTCGCGGGGGAGATACAGGAAACAATGGTTGAGGGCAGGAAAGACACTTTACAAATATCTTCCTGTTTCTCTCGATATTGTCCTTGATGCCGTTCGACCCGTCAAAGCTGTCCAATCATCCCCCTAGCCCTAGTGCCGAGTAAACTCTTGTCCTTTTTAATTAGTAATTAGCCTGTCAAAGTTTGACTGGATGGCCTATTTGCCCATGTCATGTGATGAAGTATTTATGGAGTATTTTGTGATGTTTTTGAGTATGAAAAGATTTTACGATGAACTCTTTAAAGGTACTATTAAAAATGTTGACACGGTTGTAAAAAATAGTAGAAAAACAATATCATGAAAGTTTTGAGAAAAAAAAGGCAATGCCTAATAAGACAAAGGAATTTTGTTTTCAGTATTAAAGATAAAAAAATAGTAGTGGTAGATTCTATTGTATAAACTTGTTTATAAGTCTAATCTGCCACAAGGTTCATGGTATGATAATAAAAGTTCTGTTTATCCTGTGGTACGAATAATGTTAAAGCAATATAGCCATGAAGAGAAATCAAATTCAAAGACATTTCATACCATTGTTACAACCCATCTTGATAATCTGCCATTTCTTGAAATTGATGGATTCATTTTGTTTGCAGTCATTGTGCTCTTAGATTAAACGGACATGCAAGATTTTGCTTCGGATTCTTGAATAATAATTTTGTTTAAAGCCCTGTTTGAATGTGATGATCCAACACATGCTTCAATGGCGACATTCACCCCAAATGTGATTTTTACTAAGACATGGGTTTGGGTTGCATCTCGTCTCCTGATTTCATTAGGGTTAGGGTTAGGGTTAGGGTTAGGGTTTTATGGCTTTTTAGGTATAGTGTTGAATTGAGGTGAGAGATAATTGACAGAAGCGCAGTTGTTTGCAATTAATCGCAACTTATTTGTGATAGATATCAATCAAAATATGAGCATAAGAGATAGGATTAGAGAACTTGCAGTTGATTTGGATCAATCGCAACTCTTTCTAAGATGGGCCCCAGAGCATACATTCATGTATGATGTGCCTGAATGTATGTGAAAGGGCAAAGAAGAAGCTCTATCTAGCGGCAGAAAGATCCACTGAAATAGAGACTAATGTTGCAAGGAAGCGTGAGATTACTTGTGTTTATATGGTTGTGATTTATGAGGACATTGTGTACCGGAGCTGTCACAAGCGGGTACATATCTGGATGCATAATCGGTAAAAGGATGCGGGTGTATGTTAAAATATATGGGAACATTTAATGTTTCCCTCTATCCAGTCGTGAATTTAATCATCTATCTTACAAAAGAAGAAAATCAAAGTTGGCTTGTTTTAATCACTGGACTAGCGAGCGTTGGTAATTTGATACAGAGATAAGTGAGGGTGTTTTAAACAAATCCTGGTAGGTGATAGTGATTGAATTGAAATTTGAGTCAATATTTCCTTCTTTGAGTTCATAAAGGCACTTGTATATATACTTCGAATCCGGAAAATTTTCTCAAATTTCTGATCAGTGCTTGTAACCCAGTAAGGAAATACCAGGTAGTTTGGTGTGAAGAGAATTTATGGGATAAATCCCTATCAAAGTTTTTTTTTTTTTTTTTTTTTTACAAGTTTGGTTACATTTTACAAGTTCAGGGAGTACAATGGGGATTGGTGATGTGAAAACAAATTGCAAAAGACTTGCACTTTGCTATTGGTATTATGACAAATGAAATGTGGCTGTCTAGTAATTATGTCCATAGATCATTTGAAAAGCAAAACCAAGTCATCATTTTTGTTTATACCAGCATGTAATTTAATGTAAGTGTTAAGAGTGATGTAGTAAACACCATCTGGTGAATGAAATATGAGTTGAGATATCCGTCCTTGTATAGGGTGGAAAAGTTGATTTAAGTTCAAGTACTTTCTCCCATATTTGGAAGAAAAAAGAAAAAAAAAAGGAGATTTGTATGCCGATACCATACCTCTGTTTCATAAAACCTGTTATCAATAAAACACGATAGTCATTGATATAAGCTACTGAAATTGTGGCATTTGATTGGTAGTGAGTGGACTTGTTGAAGAAATGTTTTTGGTAGTTGTGATTAGTAAGAATTCTTTTCAAACAGGGTCCTTGATTGCCTGAAGTTGATAGACCCACTTTAATTTTGTTAAGACCAAAAAATGAAAACATTATTTTTCCAAATTTTAGTTAGTAAATATTCCCATGATACATACAGGACACAGAATGACCGAATACATGTGATTTTTCCTTTTTGCTCAGGTTAATTTTGCACTTTGAAAAGTTTAGAGCTATCTTGAAAATGAGTTTAGAGCTACTAATGATAAAAGCAGTGTGATCTTTTTATGTTATGGTAAAAAATCCTATAAGACTGGCCCAGAGGTTAAGATTAAATTGGTATTTTTAACATTCTGCACTGCTTGGGTGTAATAGAAATGCAGTTGGATGTTAAAGCTACAGGTATCGAAATGTACATCTATAGGATGTAGAGGTTGAGATGAGAAACTTACAATGAGACAGAGGGAGAGATTGGACTCAAGTTTTCAAGGCCCTTTGGGATGAGAGAGGAAACTTTTAATCAATGAGATGTGGTAAATAGTCATCCTGAGAAAATAATCTGCATCACAGTGGAAAAGTTGTTATCGGTGGAAGGAAATGTAGAGGATCTAGTGTATAAGATGACAGACACTTTAAAGCCCCACTGTACTACTTGTAGCTACAGTTCTTGCTCCCTCTATATAGAAAACAATGCCTAAGCGGTGACCGTTGGTCCCCCATGTTCCTCTTTTTCTTATTTTAATTGAGAGCTGAGTTGATGAGATAGCCACCTGTAAGTGACCATGCTGGGTAGTCTAATCCCTCCTGGCTAAACTAGTACAGACTGGCTTTAATACATTGTTGAGATATGATGCAGCAAAACCACGGCGACCCTGCACATAAGGCCCGAAATTTAAAGTCTGGACAACCTCGAGCTGTTACTACTTACTTGTCATATTTCAAATATGAGGGCATTTGAAGAGCTATCCTGTTTTAGGGGATAATTTTTTAAAATTATACTCTTCCACACTATCATAAAAGACTGCAAAAGCTCACAAATTTTGTTCACCTTTCTCAGAAATCAGCCTTCTCTTTAAAGCCTGTCTGCACCAGTTTGGCCAGGAGGGATTAGACCTCCCTGCATGGTCACTGACGGGTGGTTAATTCATCAAACCAACTCTCAATTAACATAAGAAAAAGAGGATCATGGGGGACCAACAGGTACCGCTTAGGCATTGTTGGCTATATAGAGGGCGCAAGTAGTGCAATCCCGCTTTAAATGCTTCTACTCTGATTGTTCATTGAATTCTTGAGAAGTAGCTAGCTCTGCAAGTACATTGATCCTACTAAGTTGGGAAAATGTGATATTGCCTGTGTTTGCAGAGGCCCCATGTAAATCATGTGCCTCCCACGTCAAAGCAAGCAGATTGAGTCAGATTGTCTGGGATAGACGCGGAGAGAGTCGAGGTGCCGGTCTCCAGAATAACGAGAGTCTTCAAGCCTTTGTGCTCATTAATGGCATCTCCCGAGACGATACAAAATCCCAAAATACTTTTGTATTTGTCTAGATCTGGCAATCCAATTTGCCTCCGACTATAAATACAACAGAAGTTAATCATTTGGTGTACTTTAAGCTAAATATATATAACATTTATTGATTCTAAGCTTAATAAGAAGCTATGATCTATTTCTGTCCCTTTTATGTATGTATGCATATCCATCAAAAGGGGGATTTATGTTTTCATACCCAAAAGGTTTATGTGTGGTTAATAGACAGCCCACATAATTATTTTTGAACAAGTGACAGAATCACCATTCCCTTTATGTATTAACACATCAATGGCTGAGTTCTCTCCTTCCCATATGCTTTAGTACAGGCACCACCCATTTCAAGTGGGTAATATGTTAAAGGGATGTTAAAGGGATGTTGAATAGATCTACGATTTCACAATGAATAGATCGATGAAACAAATTGATAAATCAGTTAATTAAATAATCAACAAGAGGAAACTTACTTCTGAGATGTTAATGACATAGAAATTTCTTTATTTGAATTGTACCACATTATTCTTAGATCATGCTTTATAAAGTGCAAACCAGTTAGGTCAATATTCTTTTCTTTTTTGCACAAGAATGTTTTTTCAGCAGGAGGCATCATCTATTTTAAGCCAGAAGGGTATTAAATCTATACCTGGTTAAAGCCCACCAGGCTCCAAACCGACGATATGTAGACCTAGATAAATATATGCTAGAAAAATAGAAAAATTGTGTGGTTTCTAAGCTTGGTATTTATTAAATCGAGGGGTCAGTGACACAAAGACGTTACTCCATTTTGAGAAAAAAATGGTTTATGTGTCACTGAGCACTTGGGCCTTAAGGAGTTAAGTCTATGTTTCACTAGCCATTGACTTCAATGGGGTGTTGGGTGGAGTTAAGTCTTTGTGTTTCCGGACAGCCCACATTTTTCTGAACATTTTGATATCAAATACTCATTTTGGCAATATATGCGGTTATGTCTTTGTGTCACTGAACCCTCAAAATATATTCCTTATAATCTAATAAAATCCTCCCTTTTTACTCATGAAAATCTCATGTGGGAAGTCATCAAAATGGTAATAAGTTCTCTCCCACATTTATGATGTAAGTTGTCTGGTTTTATTTATATAATATAAGTCCACGCAACTTCCGTAAACAACTTAAAATAATAATCTTGTACGCAAATTTATAAAGTTACAATAAAACAGAGGATTTAGCTACTGATATGATGCCCTTCTTTGCATTAATTGATTAATTTTTCTGTTATTTATTTTAGTCAATGATGTTTCTTTTTTGTGGTGAAGCTTAAAGAAAAATAGCAACAAGATTAGGTTTTGGTTATGAAAGCAATGTGTTGTTAGCAGAGAAAAGCAACAAAACAGACTTTGGGAATGAGTGGAAAATCTTAATAATAATACTGACCTATGTACTGAGTTGTTTGGACCTAATACCCTTTTCTAACTGCACTGATTTTCATCAGATGCATCCGGACGCATCCGATGAAACGGCCAGTTAGAAAGCAACAGAGGAGAAAAAGGCGATTAAATAGCTGATGTAAAGAAGAGAAATAGGCGATTAAATTCTCCTGCTCAAGGGCAGGAGAAATTCTCATTCTATCGGTGTGACACCGATGAAACTGCCAGTTAGAAATCGTTCGGGAGAAAAAGGCAATTAAAACAGCGATTAAAATGGTCGAAGGTCGCAGTATATGCACGCTTTATCGTAACCAGCTGTGTTTGTTGACTTATGGTTGAACATTCTGCATGCTAGCTAGATGGAGCGCGGGCTTAATAATTACGCAATAATTCTTCACTTCCGGCAAGGGCTGGCCACAGCGAGTGAATTTCACCGGCAGTTAGAAAACGACAGGGGGAAAACTGCGGTTTTACCTTTGTTTACATAAGGAAAATTCAATCAGTATTTTCATCGGTGTGACTCCGATAGAAGCCAGTTAGAAAGCAGTATAAGATATACATGTAGTGCTCTGATTTGTGCTCCATAAACATTTTCTCCTGGTGTTTTTCTTCAAAGCTTTAGGGTTTGGGTTAGGGTTATGAAAATGTTATAGGGTTGGCTCAGGGTTTGGGTTAGGGTTAGGTGTCTGGTAGAGCCAAGGATTGGAATTGTGACTGTGTTTAGGGTCAAGATATTTGACGATGGAGAAATATTCTGGGAGCATATGCTGTACAACTGTTGGTTTACAACCACACACATCTGAATCATGGGCTATAAAATTATAATTATTATTATTCTACGACATGTGCTCACACTTCTCTGAATTAATTTGATAAGCCTGCTGTAATGCATTGAGAGATTTCCTAGTTTGCAAAGTGACAAACTGTTACATTCACCTGTTACGACTTATGACTGATGGAATTCGAATAGTCAGAAAGAAAACTGGTATACATCTTTTTTCTTTTAAAGGCCCACTGCACTACTTGAAGCTACTTGCGCCCTCTATATAACAAACAATGCCTAATCGGTGACCATTGGTCCCCCATGATCCTCTTTTTCTTATGTTAACTGAGAGCTGAGTTGATGAGATAACCATCTGTCCAGTGACCTTGCAGGGCAGTCTAATCCCTCCTGTAAACTACGGCAGATAAGCTTTAAAGACAGTTTATACCCTGTCTTGCTAACGAGAATTTTGAATGATTTTCTTATTCTCCCTCCCCATCCCTTTTCACTTGACTTGTAGTTTTAGTTCTGAATTGGCCTTTTTTTTGGTTTATAATCAAGTTATCATTCCTTGTCCTTTTGTCTGCTGTTCTCTCACCCATTGAAATTGAAATTTAATTCGACGTATTATTTTTGGTTTTATTATGCTTCAAGACTGTTGTGCAATGTGAATCAATCATCAGGTTTAACTTATATAACTCCTTCTCTTTTTTATCCTCTCTTTTATCCTATCTTTTATCCTCTCTCTTCGTGTTAGAGCAATATTTGACTATTATGTAGCATGGGCTGATTATTAATAATCTCTATAATAAACCTCCTTTCCCTTTTCTCTTCCTCTTGTCTCATACAGTGTGAGTGCAATATTGGACGGCGTACGCGGTGGTCCCTCACGGCCGGTTATCTTCGAGACCCATGGCTGCCCGCCTGATGTGCCCTTGATGCCCCGGCTCACGGGCAGGACCAAGAACTTCCTGGTCCTGTCATGGAAGGCGTCAAACTCCAATGGGTCCAAGATCCACAGTTATCTGCTGCAATGTGATAAGGTATGGCATGCTTTAAAGTACTTTCTTTTCTCTAGTCCTGCTTTAGAAAAAATCTGTCAGGCCCTAAGTATTAAAATGGTCCCATTTGTCTTATAACACTATCTATAGTGGTGTTTATTTTACCTGACTGCAAGGAAAGCATTAATGCTTGTAAGTTAGCAACCAGAGGACCAACGACTTTAGGTCCTCTCCGAGGGACCTGGTAATGAGGATTAATGCCTTACCAAAGGGCACCAGCGCATCGGCTTGGTTTCGAACCTGGGTCACCGGATTACAAGACCACTGCTCTACCAACTGAGCTATCACACCTCCTGTATGTATACCTGTGAAGATACAAGATACACTTTAGCATTATCAACATTTTGTATTCCAAACTAGAGGGGCAAATGATCATTCTCATAAAATGTATTTTGAATAATGAGACATTGCAAGACAATCGCAAGAGATTTTGTTAGCTGAGCTGAGCTTTAGTGTGATTGAATTCTGCATTGTCATAGGGCTCCTTAAGACAACATTAATAGGAGGAAGAGGTTGTATTAGAGGGGAGGAGCAGGACATTGGTGCTTGAAGGTGACACGGTGATGTGCACCAGGTTCATCTTATTGTTTCCTGCCCCGAGTAGATACCAGAGAGGTTCCAGGGATAGGGCATTGTTCTGTCACTGTTCAATGTTTGACGTCCTTGGGAGTGATGTCATTCAGTGTTCCGGATGGCTGTCACGTGTGTATGTGTCACACAGGCAGTGTTCAGGTGTGGACAAACGTATGCTTTAAGGGATGCCCTGTCCTGTCGGTGCCAGTGGGGATGCTTCGTTTACATTTGGATGAATGAATGTTTTAAGGGATGCCCTTCTCTCTTGGCTTGTTATTATCTGTAGAGGCGCCGTATGAACATGAGGCCCAAAGTATCTTTTTGAGATTCTCTGCCATACTATTGCTGATTGTGATATGCCTTTGCTTGAAAAATAAGAATCTATATTCATATTGGGGTCGAAAGTACCTTTTTGGGTTCTCCTTTTCATTGGTTGATTCGTGGTGTTATTTCAGTGAAGCTGCATTCATTCATATGTAGCCGAATGGACCTTCTGGCGAAGTCCTGGCTCCTGCTGCATAATTATGTGGTATTCTTAATAGCCATTGTTCCTATCAGGTGCTGCATTTATATTCAGCTGAAATTAGGTTTCGTTGAATATTTTCACAGTAAGGTAGATGCTTTTACGCGGTTACTGTACGTCTGATCACTACTCACCTTGGGCTGATTGAGTATTGATGTGTTGTGTTTATCAAGATTATTGTAAATTGCATCTGTCAGGTGTTTATGATGGCACATGAGGAATGTTTTGAGAATGAATTTGGGATAATCGGGATTGATGACACATTTCCCTGTGACTATTGATCTGTAGTCAACTTCCGACACTAACAGAGCTCCTAACTCCAAGCCTGCACCTAACACAATACCCAACACTTACCCTGACATTAAACCAAGCCCCAAAACCAGTCACGACCTCAACCACAACCACAAAGGCTAATAGCTATTATCTTTCCCAACATTCAGTTAGGAGCGAATGTAGGCAAATCTCTGTTATAATCGAAGTACTTGTAGCTGAATGCTACTTTTGAAAGGATTCTCTAATAACAATTCACTGTTGACTCCATTTCATTTAGTTTCATTCAATTTCATTCACTTCAAGCCCTTAAACTTAAACTATAAACTCATGAGAAAATGGTTTTGTGAAAGTGAGCCCTAGTGAACTTCCCTCTCAGGATCTGGACATCTGTCAGAGGTTGACCTGAGGTCTCTCAAGGTCAAGGTGGGGTCATGTGAGGTCATGTGAGGTCACCAGCTGAAAGTAGGACACATCCTGGGGAAACTAGCAATGTTGAGATTTGTGAAGTAGTTGAACTACAGCGTCCGTCTGTATGATTGATGGATTGTTTTGGAAAGTTTCATTCATATTTATGGCAGAAGTCCACACCGTTGGTTGCGGGGACAGGCAGGCAGGAAGCCACAAAGGACGATGAATTTATAATCCCTGATTGGGCAAATAGACCGTGTTTGAACGGCTTGAACCAGATGCCGGTGAGCTAACAAGCTTAGGACGCAACGTCCCTCCAGCAGTCGAACCGGCTGTCAAGATGCGAAACTGTCTGGATGGGGGCTAAGCCCGGGTGGGATTAAGAAATGTAGGTCACATATTGAAAGTAAACAGGGATCTGCGTGTCTGCCATCTTCCTCTGTTTCTCCGCATTCCCTCTCTTTCTGTCTGTCTTTCTTCATCTTCTTTCTCTGCTTCCATCTCTGGTTAGATGATTCACCGTCCCATCAAAATTCTTCTGTTGCCTCTAGGCTCTACCCTTTTTTTGTGCTTTTCTTTTTTAAGTATCCTTCCCTCCCTCTCCTTCCTCCCTCTTCCCTCCCTCTTCTCTTCTTTTCTTTTTCCCTCTACTCTTTTGTTTTACCCCTCCCCTTTCTTTTTCCATGTAAAACTTCATTTTTGTTCTTTTATCTCTTCATTCCTTGCTTCGCACACCCTCATTAACGTTCCCTGTCAGCTAGTCTGACCGTATTATACAAGGCTCCAACCCAACCCCTTCTTATGAGGTAAATTCCTTTTTTCGTCTTCCTTTCTTTATCCTTCACACCAGTTCTTGATCCTTCCCCTTCTTATCCCTTGTTCATTTCCATTCTCCACCCCTTCCTTTCTTTCTTCTTTCTCAACCCTTCATGAATTTTACTGAAGCTCCTATTCTGCTGGTCTCTCCCTGTCTATAAAAAAACTCTCATGCCTTGCTCTATCCTCTGCTCCTCTATTCATGCAAATCTGTTGCTTTCTCCTTCACTCCAGTTCTTACACCTTTCCCTTCTATCCTCTAGTTCGTCTCCATTTCTCACTCCTTTCTTTCTTTCTATCTTTTTTCTTTCTCAAGCCTCTGTCATTAACGGTGCTCCCATTCGGCTGGTCTCTCTCCCTGTCTGACCTCTCATACTCTGTTCTATCCTATCCTATCCTATTCATGCAAATACTCCAGTTCTTACAATGTTCCCCTTCTATTCTCTATTTCATCTCCATACCTTATTCCTTCCTTTCTCTCTTTCTATTTTTCTTCTTCTTTCTCAACCCTTCGTCATTACCGGTGCTCCTACTCTGATGGTCTCTCTCTGTCTGAGCCTCTGATAGTCAGCTCTTTCCTTGGCCCCTCTATTAATGCAAATGTGTTGCTTTCTCCTTTTCTTCATTTATCTCACTTTTCCTCTTCTATCCTCTAGTTCATCTCCATTTCTTACTCCTTTCGTTCTTTCTTCTTTCTTTCGTTCTTTCTTCTTTCTCAACCCTCCATCGATATTACCGGTGCTCCTATTTTGCTAATCTCTCCCAGTCTGAACCTCTCAGCTCCAGCTCCAGCCCCTCCTTCAAACTAATGTTTACGTTGCCTCAAGTGTCTGTCAAATTGCTGTACCTTGACATGCCCTCACACCTGACCTCACACCTGACCTCTGACCCGCTTTATCTTAAGAGGTCACAAGTTCACACATGTTTGACCTACTTATCATAGATCTCAAAACAAGAGAGACCATGTTTTAATATTTAAGATTGTACTTTGCTGGGAAAGTTTTGAAAAAGAGAAGACAAACCCTCTTGATAGAAGGTATACAGAACATCAGATTCAGATTATTGTTTTAAAAATGAATAAATGTAGCTCTTTAACCACTCTTTAACCATTTCCATGTTCAAATTAGAAAAAAGGCTCATATAGTCTACAAAGGCATATATCCAATTGTGTGGACCTTATGAATCAGGTTTATGATGGAAAATTATTATCTTGCTTCATGAAAACAGTATCATTTGAGATCTCATTGTTCATTGGTCGTCGTTGACTTAATGATTATTACAACTGATTTTGTTTTCCTCAGCATTAATGATGTTTTGTTTCTTTTTCTTTTATCTTGCTCCCTCTCACTGTCTGCCTGTCTCTCCCCCTCTCTTCTGTCCCTCTCCTCTCCTCTCTCTCTCTCTCTCCCCCTCCATCTCTCTCCCGCTCTCCCTCTCCCCCCTCTCTCTCCCCCTCTCTCTCTCTCTTTCTCTCTCTCTCTCTCCCTCTCCTCTTTCTTTCTCCCTCCTCTCTCTCGTTTCATTTATTTTGCGTTTGCACAGGGTAATGGTTCAAGCGGCTACGTAGCAATATACGAAGGAGCAGACAAACAGTACAAAATCACCAAGCTTCAGCCCTCCACACTGTACAGGTTTAGATTACAAGCCATCAACAGCCATGGATCAAGGTAAGAACTGTGTTCTCATTCCAATCGTACGAAACCCATTTCTAAACGTTTAAGGCCATTAAATTGTTTTTACATGTTTAGCGTCCCAGCCCGCTTCCTTTTTGGGGACCGCCTCCTATTTTTTTTCTTCAATGAATTAAAACATGAAAAACAAACTGCTAAAATTTTCTATTTCTGATTAAAAAAAAAGAAAAAAAATACTGGCGGCCATCTTGAAAAATAGCCAGACTTTCAGGAAAAAACATGTTCCGAGTGGCCATTTTGAAAAAGAAAAAAAAAAAAAGGGCCTCCTCCTTCCTATTTTTCAAAAAGGCAGGACGCTAAACATGTTTTATGTTTTTTGTTGGCCGAAACGTGTTCAGAGATAAAGGAGATTACTTTAGAAGGTGATGCATATTACCACAGAAGTGATAATGACCTTCAAAAGGAACTACGTAATTAAGTTGTGCATGGACTTCTTATGTATGTGTAGTATTTGTATTCATTATTGGGTTTTTACAGATGTGAATCAATCAGATCTGATTATTCCTCATCCATCAATTTTGATTTGATTGCATCCTTAATTACCAAAATTGATGAGAGCGATTAATAGCCGTATTGGTTGTCCATTGTCTCTGTGGTATTATTAATGGGCCCTAATGATGGCGGTACTGTGGATCAATATGATAATGAGAAACAAATAATTTGCTCAATATGAAAATGTCTATCTTATGAATACACTGTCCAGGGACAGGTTTGTATGTGAGTTTCATAAAACATCTTTGTAGAAAATAGTAATTGTGGGACCTAAACACTTTGAGCAACTGTTTGAAACACCGCGATTTCCAACAACTTTCACTTTTGGTTTTGTAAATGGCATTACCCTATGGATACCTAAGAATGGTAGTCCCTGTTCCCCGGTGAGATAAAACGTTCTCATAAAGTGTTTGGAGGGATGACCTGTTTCCAAAGTACAAGTACTTGGCATTCACAGGATTCCTATAAATGGTCTCTGTTTTCCAAACGGACGTATTAATCAATGTTAATGAGAAGATGTGCTTATACTAACATTTTTAGAGTCTGAAGAATGATTTGATCATCCTAAAAAAATTGTATCATTAGAAGGAAAAAAGGTCATATACCTTGATTTGCTTCATTTGAACCTTTTAGAATAATAATAACAAACAAAAAAATTATCTAGGAATTGATTTAATAAAACCAAAACTTAAGCATTAAAAAAAAAAATCACCCTCTCTTTGTGTATGTAAGTTACAACATCCTTTCCCCTCTGACTTTCTATAGGTTCAATGAGGAAGATAATTTTTTACATTGGGCAGCATGCCCCCTGTGCTAAAAATATTAAGCTTTTGAGAGTGAAAAGGTTAACATTTTGTGAAGGAATTGATTTTACAACACGAGTATGTGAGCATTAAACATTCACCCTCTCACTGTCTGTACCTTACAAAACCATTCTCCATCTTTCTTTGTCCGCAGTGGGTTCAGCGAGGAAGCCAAGTTCTATACATCGGGCAGCGTGCCCCCTGTGCCCAGTCCGCCAACCCTAATAGAAGCACTTGCCAGGAGTCTAAAGCTGCAATGGCAGAGGGGCTCTGGAGACATCCATGGGTACTGTTTAGAAATGGATGACGAATCTAAGGTAAGCACCTGAGTGAAATGGCGAGAGATACTTTCTTTGTTTAACTCCCCCCCCCCCCCCCTTCCCCAGAAATGTATGCAGTATAACACATGGGCTCATTTTTCATTTACAATTGGTGGTCTCTTTTTCAAAAGTGTAGGAGTCCAATTGCCTTCAACCCCAACTGTATTTTTCACTGGTTACAGTGCTTTGCTCGCCTTGAATCTCCATGATTAAACAGAAAAAGGGGCATTTGGATGTTTTCGGATGGGGGATGTAGAAGGGGGGAAGGAGTGGGGGACAGAATATCCAGGGGTGTTCTCTAGAAATGGATGATGAATGTAAAATAAGAATATGGTAAAGATTGTCAACTTTTGTGGAAGGGGGAGGGATCCATGGTTCCTTCTTGTTAGAAGAAAGGGGCATCATGTTTTTTTTTTTGGGGGGGGGGGGAGGGGGAGTGGCAAGCAAACATCTTTACTGTCTTTGAAATTGGTGGTGAATCTTGGGTATTTGGTAAAAAAAAATGCCACCTCTTTGTTGAGGTCTGGGGGGGGGGGGGCATCATGTGTTATGCTTTCATTCTTACTAGGGGTTAGGGTGCTTGGAAGATGGGGGAGGGGAGGGTCGGAGAAGGATAACGGGACAGCCATCGCTTTCAATTTTGCTGAGAAGTGGTCCATAGGGTCACACCCTGTTAATATTAATGTTTTCACTCTTTTCTATTCCAGCGCTATGGCTTCCAAGTGGTGTACAGAGGGGAGGAAACGAGTCACTGTTGTAAAAATCTTGCCAGAAATTCAGATTACAAGTTTAGGGTGAGTACCTAATCAGTAGTAGGTTATATCTCCAATTTCAGAGCAAGATAACGTGATAAGGATATAACAGCAACTTGCCTTTTGTGTGTGTCAGTTATTTATTTATTTAGCGCTTATATTATGCTATAATTTGAAGAAATGCATTGATTGTTTAGAATGCTAAGTGCATTCAGAAAGGGTTGTTAGTTCCATCTGTTAACAAAAAATTATTACCAAGACTTGATTTTGTTATTTACAAATATTGTCTCATCCTCTGACCAGTAACATCTAACTCTTGACCAGTAACATAAACTCTTGACCCCTTGCAGTTATGTGCCTTCAATGAAGAGGGAAACAGTCGGTGGAGTAGCATAGTGGCCTTTCGCACGATGCCTGACGCACCGCGAGCGCCTTCCAAGCCAAGCCTCAAGGGAAAACCCCATTCCACCAGCTTCAAGATCATGTGGGGTAAGTTCATGCTAATTTTGAGTTTGTGTGGTAGAATAGCATTTGGATTTTTAGAGAAACCAGTTTAAATTTTTGAAGACCATCAGAGCACACTGATTGAAACATCAAGAACCAGAACCTCTTAGCTGAGTTTGGTTTAGCTTGGTTTTATTTCCCGTTTAAAAAAAACATATATATATATATGAATTCGAAAAATAATGATAATCACTTATAAACTAAATGGATCGATTACTCTTATTTCTTTAAAAGATTTGCATGGGGTAAATCTGAAAACTTTGCCTACTATTCATTTACAAGTAATTTTGAATTACTTATCATGAAAAAAGAGGGGTTGTTTGGATCTGTTAAACAGCATAATTCAAAACAACCTGCTGGAAAAATGCATTTACTGAAAAGCACATCTCACTTTTGATAAATGAAAATGGGCCCCTAAAACAGTGCAAGGACTTATAGCTTTAATTCAATAAATTTTTCTTGGAGTTACTTGTAAATCATTAATTTTCTACCAAAATAATGAGGATAAGACTTACATTATTTTGAATTTCTTTATTGTTTATTGATACAGAGAGGAACAGGTTTACATTCTTGCAAAATCATGGATGATAGTAAGACCATAAACCAAAAAGTTTTAATTTGAAGTACGCTTTTGTATTTATCAGCTCGGTAATAAGAAAGCTTTTTTGTGTGTTTGATTTTGTTTTTGTTTTTATTTTGAATGTGAAATAATTTTGCAATATAATTTTGTACGCCAGATCCACCAAGGGATTGCGGAGGCTCTGAAATAACTTCCTATCAACTAGAAAAAGCTGAAGTTAGAAGTAAGTATTCATCATTTCTGGAATCAAGTAGATGTTATTTGTTTGTTAAAAGGTAAAATGGGATGCATGGACTAACATATCAACAAGAAAAATTCAAAGATAGAAAACTTGATTATTCAATAATGCCTGTCTTTCCCCAAAATACATGGAATAAAACACTGAATTATTGATAGATCGGTATGTTTAGCCGAGCAAATTAAATGCTGATTTTTTTTTATAAGAATGATAAGATGTACTTACTCAGCTAAGTTTCTAGCATCAGAGATAAAGGCATAACTAGAAGAGGACTTTCAAGAGGAACTCTATACCTTGTGATGGATCGTATATTTTAATGACAAAAGAAGTTATAGGAGATTTTAAATTTTTAAATTAAATTAAATTATTTATCGTTGTCACCACCTATATACATGGTAATTTCTTTTCCCTCAAAAGTTGATGACAACCTTCAACGAATGTCTTTTATCTCTTTCTTGTTAGATGGTCCCTTCTCGCCAGCGTACAGGGGTATGGAACGGGAGCATCAGTTTGACAATCTTAAGCCCGGATGTACTTACTACCTTAGAGTCTCGTGTACGAGTAAAGGAGGAGCGAGTCCAGTAAGTGCCCCCTCCCCTTTACCCCCTTATCCCCCCTTCACCCCAACCCCCCCTTATCCCAACCACCCCTTATCCCAACTCCCCTTTATCCCAACCCTCTCTTATCCCAACCCTACCCCTCTTATCCCAACCCTCAATAATTACCAGAAATACCAGTGTACAGGCCACAGCCCAATTTCACATCGTGAGCCCTTCCCATTTTAGGCTTTTTCAGACTTCACTTTGTACGGCACATATTACAATTATAGCTATATGACCTTGTATATTGCGCACCTATCTGTTCCAGGGGATGCTCAAGGCGCCTACAAAGACTTAATAGTACCCTGGCTGAATTGAAATCATTCTTAAATGGGTTTTTACTTTTGAAAGCACTACATTATCAAGCAGTTTTCAATGAAAGCTGACTCAAAATTTGACTGTCATGTCTTTCAGAATTCAACTCAAGCCAATTTGAAGGATATGATTTCATTATTTTTGATTGTCTCTTTTCATGTATGCAGTGTTCGGAGGTGTTCAGTATAACAACGCTACCCATAGTACCAGGCCAAAGTCATACACCCAGAGTACATGGAAAACCCAAGGCTACTTCGGTCAACTTGAGATGGGGTAAGTTCTAATCTCCTTCAAACATGTTTCCACAAAAATCATTAGAAGATATTGCTCTTTTATATCGTCTTCAATTCTTTTGTTATTCAACTGATTCTATATGCTATTGATCGCAACACTATGCCAGCACATTGTCTGTAGCATATGATACAGATAAACCTGTCTACTAAGGCCACCAAAGGGAAACACAAAAAGTGGCCACTGTAGACAGGTGGCCTGTCTAGGCAGGTTCTTACACACATGTTTCCTCTAAGAGGGAAGCAATATAGCTGACCGCTATAGACAGGTGGCCTTTAAGACAGGTTTGACTGTACCTATAATTTGTACATGTGACAAAAGTTTACTGTGACAGTCCGATACTTGTTCCATTTATCTGCAAATGAAGTTGATACATGTCATCACAAAATGTTGATATACACTGACAGCAAGGTGCTCTCTAGATTCCTCCCTTTCATTTTTTAAACCAACCTTCACGACTTTCCAAAAAATGTTTGGCAGCTTTCGAAAATTGTTGTCAACAAAAAAAGGAAACAGGCCCCTTCTAATTAGCTCACTCCCATATCTGCGGATGTGCGTATGCATATGGTTAAAAGGAAGAAACGTCACATTCAGAAACCACGAATGTTTTCAACACATTTTTGATAGATTCATCAGATGGAGGGAAACCAAGTCCTACTTTCATTTTAGATATTGATAGTGTGGGAAAAGAGTTTCTTTCATTGTCCTTGGGTGATGATTGTATCGTACAGTTTCACTTCTATCTTTTTAAAGAGAAGGTTGAGTTCTGGGAGAGGTGAAAAATAATTTGTGAGTGTTATCATTGTTATTATGCAAGTATGGAAGAACATCTGAGAAAAAATGTTCCCTGAAAAGCATGGCTCTTCAAATGCTTTCATATGCTAAATATGACGAGTAACAGCTTCAAAATGAGGCCTGATTTTTATGCCACATGTTTATGTAGTCCCATATATATATCTTTCTGTGTACAGTGCTTGTTACTTTCCCAAGACTGGGCCAAATTTCTTATCATGTTGATGACTCCAGAACCTTGCAGTACACACCAATACTTATATGCTAGATGATCAACCTTTTCTGATCAATTCCACAACGTTTCTTTCACAATGCAATCGCATAACCTGAACCCAACTTTTTATCCTTAAACTTCACTGTATGTTGAACATCAAAAGAAATTTTCAAAATCCCAGTGCAGTATTACATTCATGTTCCGTGCAGCAATTTAACAACTTGTTGTTGTTTAATAGCAGAAGGGGGAAATGGAGACACAAGGATATTGAAAAACAAAAATTACCTTTTCCTGTGCAGTGAGTAAAATAAAAAGGGGTTTGTTAGAAAATGATGGCAATGCATGATTTTGAAATTCATGGAAAGCAAGAGGAGGATTTGATTTGATTCACTTAGGAAACATGTGGGTTGTCCGTTGACATTTCTTTGTGTGAGTCACCGTCAGGCCTGTCATCATCAGCTCGATTTTGCCAAATAACCTGCTATTTGAACTATCCCGATCGCAAATTAGCTAGTTAATTTGCGTCTTCATCAGCCCGCAGTTGCAATTAGCGGGATATTTGGTCGAGAAAATATCTCTAGAAATCTTGGTCTTGTTTCCAAAATATCCGCTATTTGGGAAATAGCGGGCTAATTTGCGCCCGTTCGAGCTAGTTTGTGATGAGCGTATCGGTCTGGTGAAGACGCAATTTCGGGCTTTGGGATAATATCCCGAGTCTGAAAATAGCGGGTTATTCGGCAAACTCGAGCTGATGAAGACAGGCCTGTCGAGATTGTTTTGCTGTTACTTTGGAGAATACCTTTTAACTAACAAAGGGAGACAAACGGATATGGGAGGGGGGTATTCCTCCAGAGAAGGCTTAAAATCTGTCATTGTAGATGGGGTATAGTAGCTTGATTAAAATGGCACCAAATTTGTCTGTTTTGAGGTTTTATTTTTATACATGTATGTTGGATAATAGTAAAGTAAAGAATAAGAAATGGAGGTGCCAAAGTAATTGTCTATGCCTTGAGGCGTTATTGGTGTTGCTATTGGTTATAATGGAAGGAAAGGGAGAAGAAGAAAAAATGGAGAAAAAAGAGAAAGAAACGAGGAAGGGATGATTGATACAGACTCCAATATTCTGCTGATTGTATAGCACTGTTAGAGCCACAAGATTAAAACCAGTTAGTAATTATTAGTAAGTTGCTGGTTTAAAGGCATCGTTTAACAATGTTAAATCAGAGATGCATGGCCTTACGTGTCTGTCATATGGTGGAATATTGAAGCCCTAAAAAAATTGTGCTTCAAAATGATCATGAAGTGCCTCAAAAATCTTTGAGTGACCGGTTTCACCATACTCATTTTCCCCAATAGACTATTGTGTTATAAAAACCGTTAGGAAAACAGAAAATTTAATTTCGATTTCCAATCTTAAATATCTTGATAATCAGACAGGCGGTCGGCTTGTAAAAGTCATGGGGTTCCTGACTGACCTGAAGGTTTATAATGTTTGCAGCATGAGCTAAATCCAGGATTTTGTTGGCAATGAATGCCACAGAGTCACTTTAAGTTGTCATTGGTATATATATATATTGTATAGTGTGGTGTGGGAGGATAGTGGGAGGGGGCGGGCTTACATGAGGAGAAATGATTTGATACTTATTTTGTAAGATTATTATTAAATATTAATGAATAATTAGTGATTTGAAATGGAAAAAGGATTACAAATGAACGGAGGGTTGAAATTGCCAGAAGCTCTAATACCACTATCGATCAGCGGAATGAAGGCAATACAACTTGGGAAACCTGTGCTATTTATAAACCTGACTCATATAATTGTTAATGAGTAAATGATTAATCTACTTCACAATATTTATGATGGATGTTTTATTGCTAAGCCAAATTTAATTTGAGTTTCATGGAAATGGAAAAATGATAGTGAAATTGAAAGCTAGATTTAAAAGATGCATCATTGTGGCATGACTTTGTAAAAAGTGGTGCATTTGATATCAATATATGTTTCATTATAATTCATTGGATTCAAGTTTCATATAACATTTATGATACTTATGTTTCAGTCACATGTTAACAAGTAATTAATATATATTTCTTTTGGTGAGATTCGTCACCTACAACGTTACAATATGATTGAACAAAGTCAAGGCATCTATGAGTTCAAAAACTCTGATTCAGAATTTGAAATTTTTTCTTTTTCAATTTACATGCTAATAGAAATCAGCTAGGAAACCTTTGATGAACTTATTCCTTTTCAGTAATAATCCTTTAAAACAGAAGGGTCGTGTTATGCTTGATATCAGACATCCAAAATTAACTGTATCCTGCCGAGGAATCTGTGGCTTATGAGTTTGGGCTTTTGGTATTTATTGGATAATTTGAAGATCAACAATATTCAAATGGCATAATGAAATACCGGTACCCAAATGTTGATTTTATTTATTTACTTATTTATTTCTTGGGGGTGAGGGCCTCTTCCCCTTTCCCCCCCTCTCATCTTTTAATTGAAGTTAGAATACAGTTGAAGGCATTTGTTGTATAGTTTCAACATTTATTATTCAGATTGCACTGAGCACTTCCTAATTTTGAAGGGGAGGGGTTGTTGGGAGGGGGTTGGGTTTTTGGGAGGGGGTTGGGGGCTTTACAATTTCCCCTTGCATCTTGTGATTGGAGTCAGAATGTGATAGTTGTGGATGATTTTTTTTTAAATAGAAAAAAAAAAAAAAAAAAAAAAAAAAAAAAAGACTAATAAAAAGAAAATGTATGGGTTGGCCGATGGTTAACACTTCATCTTCTCCTCCTTATAGGTATGCCTGACTACAACGGAGGGGCTCCAATCACCGAGTTCTCCGTAGAAATGACAGCAGCTGATAATGTTACTAGCGAAGTCCACCGGGCAACTGCAGACATCACCGAGTGTACAGTGAACAGCCTGCTCCCCGGAAGGACGTACGACTTCAGGCTGAGGTCTTGTAATAAGATAGGGGTAAGTCATGATGGAAGGGAGGGGCAAATGAGCCGGCTTAGGGTCACCCCCTCCCCCCCCCCCCCCCCCAATTAAACGAAAAAGGCAGTCGGTAGTTCATAGATGCCAGTTTTCAGGCCTTGGTCACCTCTAAATAACAGACTTGGACTTCGGGCTTAGGTCTTGTAATAAGATAGGGGTAAGTCATGATGGAAGGGAGGGGCAAATGAGCCGGCTTAGGGTCACCCCCTTCCCCCCCCCCCCCCAATTAAACGAAAAAGGCAGTCGGTAGTTCATAGATGCCAGTTTTCAGGCCTTGGTCACCTCTAAATAACAGACTTGGACTTCGGGCTTAGGTCTTGTAATAAGATGGGGGTAAATCATGACGGAAGGGAGGGGCAAATGGGCGGGTTTTAGGGGAATCCCCCTCCCCTCCCCCCACGCACAAAAAAGAAGGGCCTCTGTAGTTCAGGGATGCCAGTTTTCAGGCCTTTGTCACCTCTCAATAACAGACTTTTTCCAGCATTTATGGGGCTCCAACCAACATGTCATGTTCTCCTTTAAAGTCTGATTGGAAGCAACTGGTATTCCTGAGTAGTTGCAAGCACAAACACCTAGCAGTTGGGAGGGGGTGGGTAGGTGGGTGTTGAGGGGGATCACCCCTAGCATGAATGCATTTTCCTGCTTATTTCCTATTCTTTTTTCTGCTCATGCAATCTGGTTTGTTTTAGGGGCTATGAATCAAAGGTGAGAGCTTAACCACAAAATATAGACAACCATTCTGAAAGGGGGAACCAGGTTTCTTGCTATCGTGCAGCCAGAAAATCATAAATAGATTATCTAGGCTAGTGGCACTATGAAAGAAAAAGAAAATCATGAAAATCAACCCCAAATGCAACAAGAATGATTAATCTGGCAGTTTCCAAGGCACCTAACCAAAGTTGTCCCAGGGGTGCGCATTAGTCTGGTCTATTTCCATTGCATTAAGGGTGAAGATAAGAATGACAGTCTATCAAGCATGTTTTGTGTCAATAGAATGTCGTCTGTGTTTCCTAAAGCTTATCAAAAAATTGCTTTGAAATGCTGTTTGTGTTACCTGAAACTATTTAAAAGTTGCTCTGACATATCGTCCTTGTTTTCACGAAGTGACGGTAGTGAGGAAAATCGTAACGCAAAGTGAATGCAATTTTTTTTCACTACCGTCACTTCGTGAAAACAGCGACGATATGTAGGCTTGGGCGATAATTACTCTAGGTTTTATTTGATCAATGATGTAGGGTTAGAGTTAAGATTGCAATTGGCAAATAGGTTGGGTTTAGGGTTAGGGTGAGGGTTAAGGTTAGGAATTGGTTTAGGATTAGGATTAGGATTAGATGCAGTGTTAAGTGGAGGGTTAATGTAGGATATAGAGCGAATTTCACTGGAGTATGTGTTGTACATTATTTGTATAATTTATATATGTAAATTATTTATATAATTTATATATTTATACATTGATATAATATATTCCTAATTGAGATTTAGCAAATGCAGTGCAGTTAGAACCTTTCCTTTACATGCCTCTATGGACTTTCATCTTGCTCTTTATCTAAGAGACCATAGCATGCATTCTGTTTACCATCATCCAAGTCTGGAGGTCATGTCAATTTCCTGGCTCTTCAAGGGGAATTTCCCCTTAATCCCCAGGGGACTTTCCCCCTTTCACATCAGGGACAAGCCTGCATTTAGACCTTGGATTAAGGCAGGTCTCTGTAACAGGAACAGCTTGATGTGGTTCGGGTTAAAAACAGACGAGCCAGTCATGTGATAGATCGTTGAAACCTGATAAAAATATTATTACAGATGCATACCTCGTCCAAAAGTGGGCCCAAATGATTTACCATGATGTCATTTTGCTGTCTGAGGAGACATAATTAGATTTCCTTCCCCGCAAGCACTGAAGAGCCTTCAACGAACATTAATGTTGGGATATGTGCATGTCTACTGCATCTTGTTTTTTTGAAACATACACTATTGTGTACTTACATATCATTACAGCGTTCTTGTACAAAAAGTCTAGAATATGATCTTTTAAAAATGTAATGAAAATAGCCTTATGCTTGAGATGGAAATGATTAACAAAATCATATTCATGATTAAGGTTTGTCGGAATCCCTTAAATGTAATTTATTTCTCATGAATTATCTCCTGCATTCATATTTTCACTAACTCTTTATTATTTAGGTATTTCAATTTCAGTCTTACTTGAATATTACCATCTAAATGATGAGTTTCCTTTTCAAACTGTCTGTCAAAATTAATGTGTTGGGAGCTAATCATGAGACCAACTCTCATCTTAACTTCTCTTTTTCCTCTCCTCTTCATTTCAGTACGGGCCCTACTCGGAACCTCTTCGGGTCAGCACGGGGGCGGGGCCACCCGACGCCCCCACCGAGCTGACGGCGTCCTGCGTCACCACCTCTGTTGTCCTTCTCAGCTGGCAGAAACCCTGCTTCAACGGAGCGGACATCACGGAATACAGAGTGGAGAAGGCCTCTGAGAATGGCACATTCTCATTAGTAAGTGCATGTACAGTACTACGTTACGGCGTAAATCGCTTTCTGTGAAACCGGGAACTTTTACGTACTTGAAATGTTTGCAAGTTTCTCATTTTTTCGAAATTTTCATCCTGCCACAAAATACAAAAGTTTCATGTTGTCATACATGTAGTTTGTAGCTTTACACTACACAGAAATTTTTAGCAAAACTTTAGATGCTGATACTTATCAGTCCTAAGTCACCTTAATGTTTATCATGTTGATATCAGACATGAGTTGAGTTGCAGCGGAGTCAGTTGCAGGCTCTGGAACTCTTTCTTTTACTGTTACACTAAGAAGTCCAAGCTAACCATTTCCTTGTCACTCCCACAGGCATACAGTGGCTCGGCCACCACCTGCGAAATCCGGGGCCTCCAACCTGCTACCTACTACTACATGAGGGTCCAGGCCCTCAACGCGGCCGGCCACGGGCCCTTCAGCTCGGTGGCCACCTGCCAGACCCTCCCCTCGTCCCCGGAGGCCGTCCCCTCTCTAAGGGTGGTCTCCTCCACCTCGGACTCGCTGCTCATCCAATGGACGGAGCCCAGCGATTGCGGGTCGGAGATCATCGCCTATAACCTGGACATCGGCGAGGGCCAGCCCATCTTCGTGGAGGGCAACGTAACCCAGTACTGTGTAGACCAGTTAGAACCAGATACCAAATATAGGTGGGTGGTTTGTGAGTGGCTAGTCTCTCTAAGTGCCATATCGATTGACTTTGGCGATCATGCTGTTCCACAGCCCTTGGTTCCTATCCTTCTGTATTAGCACCATTCCCAGTTCTTTCACTCCTCTCTCTACCAACAATTCTGCAGATTGTCCATCCAAAGTATCCTCCTTCTTCTCCTTCCCCTCCTTCCCAGGAGTGGCTAGTATGGTATGAAAAATGTTTAAGTTTGGAAACGGGATTGATAGCTGTATTTGTATATCCAATTCATGAGCATTTATGATAAAAATTTGCTAATAAATATTGATATTACACAATCTTAACAATATTAGTCTATCTTTTCTTTGGCTATCACATTACTGACCAAAAGAAGGAAAAATCTAGCATTTGTAGAGCTACATGTACATATCTTGCCATCAATTTTTTCCTTTGAATTTGGAAGTAAAAAACAAATATCAGAAAAAATAAGTATTGGTTCACCTGTTTTCACTTGCCTTTTGTTCCAAAGAACGCACTGAATGAAACGGTTTCAACAAAATGACGGATGTTTTATGTTTATGCCGGCATTAAAAAATATATGCATAATTTTTCCACTCATTCATATGATGATATTGAGTAGTACCTTTGACAAAATATGATCATTCTCTTCTTAGGATACGAGTGCAAGCCCTGAACAGCATCGGTGAGGGTCCCTACAGCGCCGTCCTGAAGGCCATCACCAGAGCCCTACCCCCGATCCCACCCAGGCTAGAGTGCGTCTATTACAGCCATCAGTCGCTCAAGCTCAAATGGGGCGATCAGAACCGGATCGCCGGAGACTCCAAGTCTGTCAACTTCACCTTGGAGATGGAAGACAAGAGGGGAAGGTAAGAGATGGACAGTTTCTCTGAAATATTCTTAAATGTCTCTATAATTTTGTAACAGAATGACGAACTTTTTCTTCTACTAGTGACTAATTTTACATGTATATCCATTTTTGATGGTTACACAACAATTTTCATTAATTCTATCAATCATTTGGCTCGATATTTGAATCCTAATTTCCTGTAAGATATTAGAAAACCATTTTCAATTTTCAGCCATTCCAAGAATTTCTTTGTGAAGTTGCAAAAATTCTATTTACTTGCAGCTGTGATTCGTCGAAAAAACTTTCTTGAATCCTTGCCACTTATGAAGTTTGCAACGCATGCATGAAAGTTTCTGATGTCAAAGTATTGTACATAAGTCCCATGAATACTCTCCATACAAACTCTGCAATTTAGCCTGTGGAGTGCACTACACCCTTTATCAATTCTCTGAAGACGTATCTCTTCACCACTTCATAAATAGTCAGAATCATGAAGCAAGTGCATTGTTCTGTCTTTTTCTTAAAGTGCTAGAGACATGCAATTTGCCTATGTGTTAATGCAATATATAAAAATGTTTAATTGTTATTATTATCATTAAACCATTTACGATTTGCATTCCTTTACAGATTTGTAGTCGTCTACTCTGGTATCAATCTCAATCAGAAGGTCACCAGGTTGAGCGAGAGCACCAGCTACAAGTTTAGGATTCTCGCCAGCAACGAGGCAGGAACGGGACCCTACTCGGAAGACTTCGTCTTTGCCACGACAAAGGCTCCACCCGTGACGCTTAAAGGTAGGTTCAAGAATAGTGCTTAAGAGGTGATCTGGGACCTGTTTTACAAAGCCTTTTTTCAATGACAAATCTGCTGATAGCCAATCAGAAGCAAGGATTTCAGTAGCTTATAACAAAAGCTGTCATTTATCACTGATGACAAATTTTGTGAAACACCCCCCAGACGTTTGCTCTCCAGCATCATTTGCGCTGATGGCATTCAGTTGCTCAAGGCTTTATTTTGTCAAAGATACAGGGCTTGGGTTACCACTTGGTTTCAGTTTAGGCTTAGGGTTAGGTACAGTGTTGGGTCCAGCGCTGAGGTTAAAGGATTTGAATAGTGTAGGAGAAGTGTCGACAGACTGCTGCCCATTCTTACTTATTTTGTTGCATTTCTGACATACAATTTACAACTAAATTATTCCTACCCCTTGTAAATTCAATGTTTTTTTGTTTTTTTTTGTAACTCAAGAATGAAAGATGGACTGATAGAATTAGGGCCTTTGATGAATACATTGAGGTCTTGTAAAAAAAAAAGTAGGTTTGTTTTTCACCCACAGCATTACTAATCGTTTTTTTCTGTTTCCCAGAGTTGTTTTGAGAGCTCTTGTGGGGTACATGCTTCATTTTTCTCACTTTTTCATCTTGTCTTCAAATCTTCCAGCTCCCACGATGGAAGTTGATCAAGATTCTTGCCAGATCTCCTGGGCCGAAGCTATCCTCCATCAGCAGGAGGATCTCATGCACTACCAATGTCAGTACCAGAGGACCAGGGAAGGCGACGCAAGGGTGGTAAGTGTACCCCTCTTAATCTTTGCTTAATCCCCTCTTAATCTTCACTGGAAAAGGTGAGGCTAGGGTAGTAAGTGTACCCCTCTTAACCCTCAATTAATCCTTAGTTAATAATCACTACCCATGTCAATTCCAGAGAACCAGGGAAGGGAAGGGGAGGGAGGGTGGCTAGTGTACCCCTCCTTAATCTTCACTTAATCCCCTCTTAATCTTCACTGGGAAGGTGAGACTAGGGTAGTACATGTAAGTATACCCTTCTTAACCCTCAATTAATCGTCACTTAATCGTCACTAGTTAATAGTTACTAGCAATGTCAATTTCAGAGAACTAGGGAAGGAAAGGGAGGGTGTTGTGTTTAGTGTACTCCTCTTAATCCTCAATTAATCCTCACTTAATCTTCATTAATGCAATAATCACTGCCAATGTCAGTACTAGAGGACCAGGGAAGGGGGAAGGTACATGTACATATAGGGTGAGTGTACCCCTTTTATATCTGAGTCATGTGTTTTACTCCGGTGAGTAAGAAATGATGGGAAAAAATGAAAGAATTGCTTTCCTTGATATGAGGTAATCCTCATGGTTCAGGATAATCATTCTACATCTAATGAAATGATTCTGTGTCTGCTTATATATGTAGATCTACCGTGGTCCGGAGAAGAGCTTCAAGCTAGAGCACCTTGAACTGAACGTGGAGCATCGGGTACGAGTGTGTGCCATCAGGGTACCAGGCGATGGTTCCTCTGAGCTGACAGGGATCTACAGTCCCTGGGCTCCGTTCACCATCACCCCACCGGCAGCCAAGGAGGAGGCACTCATGGCAGATGGGGATGGCGATGGACTGACGGACCTGGACTCAAAGCCGATGGGGGACAGTCAGCTGGCTATGATCATCGTGGCGTGCTTCTGCGTGATAGCCATCCTAATTGCCGTCTTTCTGCAGTGGTATCTAGGCTCGTAACGGACGTGGCAGCTGGAGTGCTGGACCAAGGTGGCGGGCGCCCTCTTTGGCTGACGGAGGGCAGGGAAGTTCCCTCTCCCCCCCCTCTTTTTTTCTTCTTCAAGGCTTCGCTGACTAGAATCTCTGATATTGACCCGTAGGACTCCATCTGGCCAATCTCGCACGGCCTTCACAGAGGATAGTTACCAATTAGCCTCGGAATGCGCATCGAGTCGTATTCGGCCATCCCTTCTTCTGCAATCTTAGAACGTGGGAATCTGAACTAATTGTCAGCTGCTGGTTAGTTTCAGCCCTGTGACAAAAATCAGATCACGCCAAATAGCTCTCTGACTTTGCTGGATTTAGATATTTCTTTTCATACCTTTTGGTTTCAAACTTATCTGCTGTTTCATACACACACCAAACCCTTGCCCATTTGGATCGTTAACGGTCATTCAGGTAGTATGAAGCATAGGCTTCATGCACAAAAAAATTCACGGGTTAAACAATTGCTTCATCACAAAGGACTGACTAACATTATCAGGTCAAACTTTCTCTAGATTCAAAATAGAAATTGAAAGAACTTGGGTTTAAATTAGCATTGATGATGAATTGAACAAATTATATTCCAATGATCACTGCCTAGACAGCATTTACCAAGCATTCATGGACCATTTCAAACATCATTGTTGAGATTCAAAGTCCTTGATTTACTTCCACAACTGTAGCATGTAAGTAGAACGTATTACCTCTTAAAAAACTTGACGTGTATGTTTTAACTGTCTTACATGTAATGATTCGTTTGTGTACTTGTGCACTGCATACACATAGCATCGTAACTTACATTTTTTTGAGTGGCGAATTCCATCGGCATGAAGTGACATCCTTCTTTAATTTTTTTTTGTTGCCTCTTCACTGCCCTCTCTTGAGGAGGTAGGACGATAAGCCATATTAAGGATTACGCAGATGTTGATGTCGGTGTGTTTTACTCGAATGACTAACAGTTGTTTTGTACAACAAAGTAAATACATGTCATGTATTCTCTCTGAGGCAAAAGACATTCAAACTTCTCCAAGAAACACGGAATCAGCTCGGAATGTCGTGCTTTAGGGAAAGGTTGACTGGCTGCATGAAAGTGGGAGGAGTACTAAATGGGCAATGTGACTAATTTTTGTATTCGTACAAACCGGTGTAGGGCTTACATCTTGTTGTTTTCCCGCATCTTACAAATTGAGGCCAGCAAACTTCTGGCAGGTTGCAGTTTATGTCAAGGAAAATCTGACCATAGATCATTTTCCCCAAAAAATCCTTTTTGTTTTGTTTAATAACTGAGGGTTTGAAAAAAACATTGTGCACAATATGTGCAGTATAGATTTTGAAGGAATTCTTGATGCTTTTCGTGACAGAGAGTCTATTGCAGACATATTCCAGAAAAAAAGAAGAAAAGAAAGGTAGAATTCTGAAAAGGGAGCAGTCACCATTCATGTATTGTTTTAGAACGGTCTCAGTATTAGGGAGGGAGGTGTTGATTTGAATTTCTTTTAACAGATTTAAAAAAACAAAGTGTTCGTCATTTATGTGAATTCATGAAATGTATAGACAAAATGAAATTATTTGTGAATTTGCAGGATTCACATGGATTTTGGGGCTCGCTTTATACCTGTTAAACCACTAGTTCAGGAAACTAAAATAGTTGTTTTTAGGGTCCATGCCTAAGATTTGAGAATATAAATAGGATTTGGGATGGATCGAGAGTAAGGTAAAAGGACAGGAACGGAAAGGATTGAGCGGTTCTTATTTTCTGAGGCTGAAGTTATTAAGATTAAGAGATAGATAAAGTTAGAAAGATTAAGAAAGAGAGATAAAGTTATTAAGATTAAGAGAGAGATAAAGTTATTAAGATTAAGAGACAGAGATACAGTTATTAAGAGTTATAAGATTCAGAAAGTAGTAGAGGCAGGAAGGGGATCAAGCCGAGTAATGGGTATCAAGCTCATGTAATTTTGATAGAATGAAACCAAGTTCTGTAGAAAATTCATGTCAGCCTCTTCACAATACTCTGATTTTCTCTCTACGTTTCCTTCTTGTTTAAAACAAAATTCACTCGGGGCATTGCCAAATTATATAGAAATGAACTATGAGCAAGACAGAGAAACCAAAGTGCATATACAATGAATTCTAAGAGTAAAGTTTTATTTTAATACGATATTTGCGTAGAATAACTCAACTGCAAGAAACTCTATTTGTCAGATAATTAGATGTTATATTATAGTATTTCAACTCATTCATTGAATAGATTTATCAGGAACACGTATGTATTTATTTTATGTGTCAGTTAGCTGTTTGTTCAAATGCGTACAGAATTTCTTTTACCGGTAGTTTGGCAAACCAAACAAACAATATACAATTTGAAATGGAATGTCTGAAATTGAATAATACTAAAATGAATTGTTAACGAGTAATTATAAACCGTAGGCCAATAAATTGATGTGAGCAAATCTCTCACAGATTGCAACATGAACTGACAATGTAAATGAAATGGAATAATCTAAATTTGCAATTCTCATTGAATGTTGGAAACATAATTGTGTTACAAGTGCTTTAAAAAAAATGAATAGGCATTAGTTTGTATCGCCTATTCCCATTTATTAAAGGGCTGTATGTGCTCTATGGAGCTATTTAAAGAACTATCATTTTATATCATAGGCTAGTGATTAAGAAAGGGAAGGCATGAACCAATTCCAGCGCAAAAAAGATAAATAGTGCCAGGTTTACATCATGCATCAATGTCTTATATGCAGTTGGTGAGGTTCATACCCTAAACCCGATCTGAAGTTGCTAGCTGACAATATAATCAATTTTGGGAGTTGGGCATTAATGATGTATTAGCTGCAATGGTGTGTGGTGTTTAACAAGCACTACCGTTATTCCAGAGAAGTATCTTCTAGAGGTTAGTTTCTTGTTTTTACAAAGCTGCTGCATGGTTAGATGCTAGACCACATATTTTTGTGTGTTCAAAGATTTGTGTGCAGTAGTGAAATTATGACATGACTAGGCCACAATGATGCTATATGACAAGGACTGTAGAGTTTCATCGGCTAGTATAGTATTGATACAGGTCATTTTATAGGAACACACAGCTGTAATGTTCTCCAATATTCTTGGTAAGGGGTAGGAGCAGATGGGGGGGGGGGGGGGGGGGTGTTACAATTTAGTTTTAACTATACCCTATGATACTGGTCGTGACAGAAGGGAACATGTTGATACTCTTTAATTGCACTAAAATCGAGCAAAAATAACTTAATACTCAGCGAAATTACAATCAATTTAGTATTTACCTCCTTTCTGAATTTTAAGCTTAAAGCTTTGGGAAAGAATGATATTGCAGGATAGGTTTTTCTTACTTAGTAGCAAGAGTTCAATTGCATCTATTAGATTGGAGAATGAATTGGTATTCACTGCAGCAGTTTAATAGAATGTTATCCTGTAGTGGATATTGAACATGCAGTTGCCCTTAGCTGCACCTATGCTGGTCATATAATTTATTGAGAAAGAGGGGGTAAAAATGAAGAATAAAAAAAACAAAGATATAATGGTTTGCCATTCAAGCCACTCTACATGAAAGGATTAAGAAAGAGTTCAAGAGAGAAAGAGAGAGAAAGAGAAAGGGAGTGAGAGAGAGAGAGAGAGAGAGAGAGAGATGAGTGAAGGAGCGAAAAAAGTTATGTCATGTACAAATGAAAAGCTTGCCAGAAAGGCTGTAAAACATGTATAAAATGCTATGTATTTGATGGATGTCGCCTGTTTGTTTGAATACATGTATCGGTTGTAATTTATTAAGTTTGTTCTCCAACTCTCTTTGTTTTGTAGTGAAGTTTTCTTTATCCTCGTTGCTACAGTATGACTTAGATGTAGCGATGTACCTTTGGAAATCTTGGAGATACCGTAAGGCCTGTATAAAGGGAAATGATGAAGCTAACATTTCCGAACTAAAATTGTTTGGGGACATTCGTTTGTCGTCATATAGTGTAAGTAAAAAAAATAGAAAGTACAACATAAAGATCTATTTTTTGAAATGTGGTATATATACATTGTATGAAATTGTATGGCATTTCTCCTATCTGTTTTTGTGCTGTATTATGTACATGTGTATGACTAAGAAAAAAATAATGCTAACAGCATAAGATGATCAAGTGCTCTGTACAATGTTATGCTCGACTGTATATTGCATTAAAAAATGAAGAAAACAAAAAATCAGATTTAAAAGTATTAAACTAACAAAAAAGTATATATATAAATATATATCTATAATATATATACATATCATTGTGTATAGTACTGTTATCTAAATTGAACAAAGTCTACACTATGAATGACGTGCTTTGTTAGCGTAAGTTTATTCAGCATTCAAGTTGGTGTTAGAGATGAATGGAGATGGCTTTGTTTGTTTGATAAACTACATGTACTGAATTCTGCGTGTGTAATCATCATTGACAGGCCACCGGGCTCTATGCTTCTGCTTTCGTCTATCTACACTGGATCTCACTTTCCACTTTGGTTCTACAATCAAGATTTGGTTCTCAAATCAGTATTAGGCTGTTATCAGGTTAAAATGACAAAAAACGATCTGATGTAGTGCGGCATGTGGGCTACCACACTCGTGTTTCACATTATGAGTTGAAGGCGACATCAATTTTGTCGATTAAAGGCCGAAAGAACGTGAATTCAAGAGAAGTGCTCTCTTTACGAGGCTTGAATGACAAAATGATAACTCGGTTTTGTGTGTAAATATATATATCAACAGACTGAGAGAATAATGTGAAGTACACACGAAGAAACATAATGACATCGCTATGATGAAACAGAAAAGAGAACAAGCGATGAAAAACTACAGTAACATTCCGAGCTATTTTTTACCACCAGAACGTAGGGTTTACAGTTTTTGGCATTTATGCATTCACTTAAGGATGGGATTCTGCGAGAACTTGATTTCTTTGGTTGTTTTTCAATGTTAGTTTCAAGTGTAAATCATTCTATTATTGCCATGGCTCAACATTTTTGTTTTCTTTCTTGTGTAGAATATGTAGAGATCTATTTTTATCTGTGTGACATAATCTTAGGACCAATAATATTGTTTCCTTTTTAACTTGTATTTGCATTCATTTATGTATATGTATATTCACAATTCATTGGCGCATTGTACTATTTCAATTTTTGATGTAGAGTTATAATTTGATACTTATATTTTGATTTGAGGCGAAAGGTATGATCTGAAGTATTTTACTGAAACGGTCAGAACTTAATGAATGTGTACAGGCATAACAGTTCATCGTTATTTTTATTGTTATTATCAACTATCATTATTTTCATTATATGAGATATATTTTTCTGAATTATAAGTACAATGTACATGTATCTGCATAAGTATGCTAAGGCCGTTGGTAGAACATACCAGGCCTTTCCCGCCATTTTGTTGTTGAAAATACTCCAAACACATTTTAATGCAGGAAAAAATGTAGACTACTACACCACACTTTCCTTTTCTAAATTTTGTTCATATCCTTGATATTTTTGCATCTCGTTTCATTGTCATTTTGGAGTGAACTTGAAAGATTAATTTTCATTCAAGAATCTAGTCTTCACTGTTACTTATAGGTTTTCAAATTTGCCATGAAAATTTCACATTCCCATATTTTGAGCATTTCTACAGCTTTTTCCACTGCCAGCCCTAGAGATCTTCTTTTGAGTCCACGCAATGATTAAGAACAAACATGAATTGCATGAAAGTCGGAACTTTTAGATTTATTTCAGTATTATCAATAGACTTACCCATCGTAAGGTTTTGAATTTGTCCCAATTCTTTTGATATTTAAACTTGTTCAAAAGTTTTTAATAATGTAAACGTGTAAAGTATTTATTATTTTGGGAGTGTGCCACATCATATTCATTGTTTCATTTATTACAAAGTTCTGAGTCATTATTTATTTCTCTTCTTTTTTCCATTTACAAATTTTTAAAAATAGTTGGAACGCGTAAAAGTTTATTCAGAGTTTCATATTTAAAGGATTTCAGGGTCGTTCTTCTTTAAAAGAATAAAACAAAAAATTGAAATCTATGAAAGGGTTTCCTAGCAACTTGTAGGGACTATTTGACGTAATAATGCTTAGGAACATGGCGTAAAATGACAAATTTTGAAAGAACTTCTACAAAAAGATTGTAAGATAAATAAAGATGGGGGAAATGTGCTATGGAGAAGCATTATTCACTTTCCCAAGGATGAATGCTTAAATCCATGCGCAGATTGTTTCAAGGTCGATAAGGCTTTTTTTGTTAGGATCATAAACCAAGCAATGCATTCACCAGAAGGCATTTACATGTCTTGGCATATCTGTCACTGCCTCGTTATTTAAACTCACGTGGAGAAATCAATGTTCTGATTTTCATACAGGTCTTTTAATTATGAAAGAGCACAACTTTAACATGTATCAGAGTAAGCACAAATTACAAGATAGCAAGTGTTTTTGTGAAATGGAAATAGGTTCACTTGTGTTTGGTTGATGGCACATTGAGTAGAAGTTTTCAGAATTTGTTGTAAATTTTCTTAAATTAATCATTGCTTCCTGGCATTATGTCTCCTGCTTCCTATGAAACGTAATGCAAATCAGATTATATCTTATTTTTTTTGGTAAACTGAGCAGATTATTTGCAGAAAAGGTTATTTTTTTGTATTAGATGATTTTTGCTTTTATAGTTCAAGTATACCTTATGAATTTTCCCCAACTCCTTTTCAAGTAATGTATGTCTTTTTTCTTCTAGAGAATGTGAAGGTTATTTTCACTTGTTTGGAGAGTCTCAATTGTTTAAAATATCAATTTTGTTTTCTTGGTAGAACCGAATTTGTTATTGAATTTTTTGCGATTCATTCTTCAAGTAATTTTATTGAAATGAGTTGTAAGGAAAAAAATGATCAAAATGGATGGAAGGAATCTAAACTAGCAAACCAGAACGAAAGGTTTTTCGCCTCTCCCTTTCTGTAAATTTGAAATCCAACTCAAGCTTGCATTGAGAAAATGCGAAATTATTGAAGTAAAAAAATGGAGTGTATAGCAAGATGGGAACCAGTATGAACGCCTTGAAAACACCTTGTAGAACGAGTCTTATATTGTGCTATTGTTGAGCGTATGAGGAATTTGGATTAAAAAATGCCTTACTGTCCTTGCAGAGTTATCTATTTAATCACAACAAAACAAATATATAAATATATATATATAAATGTTGCTTATTTCGTGGATGTTCTTCTTTGATTTCTCAACTGCGCGATAAAACCTGTATGCCAATCTTTGGTACGTAGAAAAGTCTTAGTCGATTGACTGTATTGTGTATCTTATATATTAGCTGAACAAATAAACAGAAAAATGAAGAAAAAATTAACAGTGCGTGTCTGTGGAACTTGCGAAAAATGTGTTTTGAGCAGATCACAAAAAAGCTAAACTATGAAGAAAAAAAAGTGGTTAAAATGCATTCTTTGTGATTGAAATTGACATGAATAAATGTGCTCATTTCTTTTCCGTGCCAAACCGTAAGAAAAAATGAAAACAAATATACCAATATATCTTACAGTCTATAGTATGATATTGAAAAATAAAACATCGTCTAATGGCGCTTACATAGCCAGAAATGTATGAATGTGTTGTTTTTATTCTTTCAAGAAATCTTGTCAAGTGTTTGATGGTTATGATGATGGTGGTGGTGTTGATGAAGTCTATATCAATGGTAGTAATGGTAATAATTATGACACTGATGATGATGATGATGATGATGGTGATGTACAAGTTGCAATTAAATGATGCAAAAACAGAGGCATTGCTACTTGTTTCACCCAAAAACACTAACTCTTTAACCCTTCTTTAGAAAAATTCCAAAAAATGAGATTGATTATATTGGTATTTTCTACACGATGAGAAGCATGACCTTTAAAGATAAACTTGAGTTCTGGTAAAAAAAGAAAATAAATTGTTACAGAATAAAACGAAACTTACACTGAATGTTCAAGATTACAAATAAATGTCATTTGCCAAACAATTTTGGTAGAAAATGTATAATGGCTGAGTAATGAGCATATAGAAAGATAAGGAAAGTTGTCGGGCCCAGACACCATTTGTGTAGTCATACATCTTTCCGTGTACAGTGCTTGTTACAAAACTAATACCAAGACTTGGCCAAATTTATTACGATTTTGATGACTCCAGAACCTTGCAGTACACACCAATACTTACATGCTACATGATCATTTTTTTTCTGATCCATTCCACACCTTTTCTTTTACAATGCAATCGCATGACCAGAACTCAACTTTATCTTTAAATAATGCAAAAACAGAGGCATTGCTACATGTTTCGCCCAAACTTAATCATCATTTTTGTCTCGCCTGCATAGCAAAAAAGCGAAACATAGGCGCCGCTTTTCCGGTGACAGCGGCGGCGTCAACATCAAAAACTTAAACCAAGGTTAAGTTTTTGAATTTTTGATATAATTTTAGAAGTATAAGTTCTTAGTCAATGAAACTTGGATTATAGGGTTATCAAGTATCCCCAATCATGTGAGTAGAATTTCAGGTCACAAAGTCAAGGTCAAAGGTCATTTCAGGTCAACAGACTTGGACCATGTTGTGGCATCATCATTCAAAACTTAACCTACATGTAAGGTTAAGTTTTTGAATTATTGATATAATTTTGAAAGTTTAAGTTCTTAGTCAATGAAACTTGGACTATAGGGTTATCAAGTATCCACAAACATGTGAGTAGTATTTCAGGTCACTAAGTTAAGGTCAAAGGTTTATTATTTATATTAATGATTTTTATAGATCATCAGATATGGCGTCTTTTATATCATTTGCTGATGATACAAATTTGTTCTTTTCACATACAAATCCAAATACTCTTGTTGAAATTGTAAATTTTGAATTAGAAAAAATTATTCAATGGATCCGAGCTAATAGGCTGTCTTTAAATTTACAAAAGACTAAATATATTCTTTTTAGTAATTCAATAGATTCTTTGCCAACTGATTTAGTTTTTGATGACACTCATTTGGAAAAGGTTACACATTCTAAATTTCTAGGTGTAATAATTGATAATAAGCTTTCATGGAAAGTTCATGTCGATAACATTTCTAAAAAAATTTCGAGAAATATTGGTATATTAAATAGACTTAAAACACAACTCCCATCTTCAGCATTATTAACATTATATTCATCCTTAACATTACCTTATCTGAATTATGGCTTACTCGCATGGGGTAACGCTCATCAGAACATTTTAGACAAACTTTTATTGTTACAGAAGAGAGCAGTTAGAATTATTTCCCAGGCAGATTTTCGTGCACACACTAATCCGTTGTTTTATGATAATAATATTTTGAAAGTAAAAGATTTGTATTTGCTTCAATTAGGTCAATTTATGTATAAAAATACTAATGATTTGCTGCCAAAAAATTTTAAGACTATGTTTTTAAAAAATTGCTCTTTTCATCAACATTCAACTAGACAATCGGAAGAGTACCATTTGCCATTACTTCGAACTTCCTTCGCTAAAAACACTTTTATCTATGATGGCCCAAATTTGTGGAATTCCTTTACTGATTCATTGAAAAATGCCCCTTCATTATATACATTTAAGAAAAGATTAAAAATATTTTTGATCTTAAAATATAAAGTAAATTAGTTTGATTTACCCCCCCCCCCTGACACCCACACACACACACTAATACTTACACATTATACACGATGCATCATTGTCTTGGTCATTTTGAGGAGAATACGCGCATACTTTCCCCTTATTTTCTCTTTAATAATTATATGCGCAGTTATCGATTTATACGGTCTTACTTTTTACTGATAATCTGATTTGTATTGACAATAGTATACGGAATGTAGAATAACTGATTTGTTGTTTTGGAAATGTTACGTCCACGTCTGTGCTGTATATTCGTTTTTTTGTTTTTTTTTGTTATTGAATGTCTTTCTCTGTCTTACATTGTCTCTACTTGTTACTGTTCTGTCTTCGCGGGCTTGTCATTGTCTTTACTTTATTTTTTTTTATTTTTTTATTTTTAAAACAAAGAGCAAACTTTTATATTAATATATTTGTGTTTTTTGTTCTGTATAAGCTAATTTGTGTAATGCTACTTTGTTATTTTGAGGGACCCATAATCTACAAGTATCCACTTTTTAATGGGTCCCTCCATTTCCATAGAAAATATCAAAAATTTTTGTATTATGTTATTCAAATTTTGATTATATGCAGTTTAAGTATTTGTAAATGATATTATTCACATGTTATCTTGTTCAATTTTTTGTTTTGTTTTAATGAAATATTGTTCTGATTTCTGTGGAAATGAAAAATAAACTTGAATTGAATTGAATTGAAAGGTCATTTTAGGTCAACAAACTTAGACTTTTTTGTGGCATCAACATCAAGATTTTGAATTGTTAGCATATTTTCAAAATTGATAGTTCAAATTCCATGAAACTTGTACCCAAGGGTTATCAAGTATCACAAATCATATGACACAAAAGGTCAAAGGTAATTTTAGGTCAGTAGACTTGATTTATGTTTTCACAACTTAATATGAGAATTAACTCATTTTTTAAAAATTAATTTGTTCATATTTCATTCAAGTTATCGATCCTGGTACAATTAATAGTAAATATTCTTCTGATGATTTTTGGTCAATATTTTGCTTCAAAATGCTGATTATATTCAGAGGATTTCAATTTTTGGGGCCTGCTAATGGGCCACCCTGCCAATAAACAATGTTTCAACCTCAATTTTTCATCATATCGAATTGTGTAATGCAGGCGAGATCGCCGAGAGCGTTTCCCTTGTTTAAACTCTATATTACAAAAGGGACACCACAAAGTAGATCTCGAGAGAGAAAGAATGTACAAGCATCAACTCAATATTTTATTATACGCTAAAATGAATCAACAATAAGGCATGTTCTTACTCTAAAAATTACATCTGGATAGGCGTACTAGGCTTTCTTTACAACATGAACACAGGACACGAAATGATTTGACGAGGACATCAAAAAATAAAACAATATGGAAAGCACTATACTATTAAAAAAAAAAGGCTAATCGAAACAAAAACTATCATCATTTCATGTTTCCATGGGAGAAAGATTGTTCATAGCAAAGATCGTCATGGTATTTATTAAACATTTGCCTCTTTTGTAAGTCCTTAAACCTCTTATCCGGAGGAAACACCATCGTCTGTAGCCATTTACTTTCCATGCAACAAAATTACAAATGCATGGGACTTCAGGATAAATAGCCAAGTCATATTGGTACCAGAACTTACTCAGCGACGGGGTGTCCTATTGGATGAAAGAAATTGGGACATACACTGTCAGTATGCAATCCACATGATTTGTATACAAGACGAAAAAGGGACAATAATGGTTGAAATTAAGTTGGAAAATAAAGGATCTTAGATTATCCTTGACTGTTATTAATCATTGAATTCAAAGAATAATATTTGAATTATTTTCATTATCTACATGTATGCTCCTGAAGAGGTAGGAAAGTGACAAAGAAATCAAAGGACTCCAACGTGCCTAAAATCCAATAAACTCAGTATTTTGAGACACACTTATAAACAAAATTCAAATTACTTTCAGTATCGATATCGTCTGTCCAGAGCCAGAAGGGCTTGAACTCCATGCCATGTATATATACCATGTTATGCAAGAAGAAGGTTTAATGATCTTCATCCGGAGGGCGCAACTACACGTTTACATTGTTACTTTCTGATGGAAAGGTCGAGGTTACTTCTGAATATTCTTCACTTACAATCTCTATAATCTCTTTTAATTACCATTTTGATTGTTTCAGAATTCATAAAAAGTGCCTGTATCTCCCATTCACTTTCAATCATAATTTGGAATTTCCTCTAAATACTAAATTTTCATGTCGATTCAACAACACATGCTATACAAAAAAGATTAATCATTCCATGAAACTTTCCACTTGGGGTAGATCCATTAAAAAAAAACCCTTAGGAATGAAATACAATATAGGGTATAGAAAACATAAACATCTATGAATGCATATTGTTTGTTGACTACGCATCTTTCACTAAATGCCTCTAATTCAATCTTCTCTGGCATTATTGGTGGACGATGTCGAGGTCGATGAGGGTGAAGATGTCCGTGGTCCATCCACGTTATCGCTGCTCTGGAGTTTGTCTCATAGCAAGCAAACAAAGACACTCACTGGGTTTCCGATTTGCTTTCATCGTTGTCATTATCATCCTCACCATACTCGTAAACCTCATCCTCGTCTTCCTCCTCCTCCTCCTCCTCCTCACTTTCATCTTCATAATCGCCCTCTTCATCATCATATTCCTCCTCATCTTCTTCTTCCTCTTCCTCTTCTTCTTCTTCTTCTTCTTCTTCTTCTTCTTCATTTTCCTTCTTTAGTTTTAGTTGATCTATATGTAAGGAAAGAAATGAGTGTGGTGGTTATTTTACCTGACTGCTAAGAAAGCATAAATGCTTGTTAGTAAGCAACCAGAGGATCGACTGCTTTAGGTCCTCTCCGAGGGACCTGGTAATGAGGATTAATGCCTTACCAAAGGGCACTAGCCACTGCTTTGGTTTGGAACCCGGGTCACCAAACTGCTCTACCAACCGGGCTATCGCGCCTCCGTTGGCCCAAGGTAAGTTAGAAAGTGTTGATAAATATGTGTACATATATTCAGGCAACAAGACAAACATTCAGGGCTAGGTAAGGTAATGCCATTACTTAATGGACCCATTTCATATCGGGTAGGTCAAAGGGCAAAGGTCAAAACAAGTCGATGTATATTAGAAACCAAAATTTCCACTCTTGTTATTGCAACATTAAAAAAATTCAAAATGAATGATCTTAGAATTCAGTTTCACTTGGCATTGCATGTAAAGAGACAAACAGATCTATAACAAATAAAGATAGAAGACTCCGTCAGAGTATAGGGTCTTTAAAGGCAAAATGCAGCTTGCATATACTTGTATAGAAGGTTGATCAAACCAAATACAAGCAAATGAGGTTTATCTAAGGCAAGTACTGTACAGTGGGCTCTACAACGAATGCTCTGGTGATAATGACTCCGCAATGATACGTTGTTATTTCTGTGTGTTACAAGTGCAGGGGTGATAGTGAGCACTAAAAAAAAAAAAGTAAAAAAAATGGCATCTAACAAATTTGGGAAAATGTACATGTAATTGTAAATTGGAACTTGGAAAAAATAATAATGCAACAATTTGATTTTGGTGAATACCGTAGTGTTATTTTCACATTCTAGTCCATGATATTGACTTACAAAGCGTGGCAGAGAACTTTGACAAGAGTTAGGAACCCAAAATGCAGGTGGGATGCAAGAATATGATAATGCATGGATGAGTGGTACGTGACAATGCGTAAGATGCCATTCTATAAAATACATGAAAATGAGAGTGCACAATCAGTTTCCTCTCAGACTTAGCCTCACGTTAGCTAGTCACCTTTGCTAGAGGGGGTTGCCTTGGCAACACCGTCTTCCGCACGACTGGTAGAAGATGATGATGATGCGGTAGCTCCTCCCTCCTCCGGGGTCCCTGTCTGTCCACCATCATCAGCGGCTTCTTGGAGTCTGATCTTGGTCTGGGCTTCCTCAAACATCTCCTTGAAGGACGCAGCAATGGATGGATCCTTTAACTTGATGGCTAGCTGCTCTGAGGTCGGTTCTCCGTCAGCTGCGTCCATTGCATGCCACACCCAGGCGCGATCCGAGCCAGCCATCGGGTGGAGAGCCATGGAACTTGTGATGTAGTGGTTGGCGCACACCTGTATTGTAGATAATATTTCACAATATTCTGGTTAGCAAAGGTCTAAAACCGCATCCATGGACGCCACACCCAGGCGCAGTCCAAACCAGCCATCGGGTGCAGAGCCATGAAACTGGTGATATAGTGGTTGGCGCACACCTGTAAATAATAGATCACAATATTCTTGTTAGCAAAGGTCTAAACCGCATCCATGGAACGCCACACCCAGGCGCGGTCTGAACAGGACATCGGGTGCAGGGCTGTGGACGTGGTGATGTAGGGGTTGGCGCTACTGGAGTCACCAAAAGAAAGCATGGTATATTTATTTTATATCCTGCAACAAAAAAAAATACAATTTTTTGAAAAATGTTATTGAAATTTTAATAATTAAACTTTTTATTAAAAAGGAATTAAAAATAAAAAACATTTATTAAATTAAGACATGAAAAAATATTACAAATATTTATTTTAAATCTTTAAAAAAAATTCGACTCCCAAATAGTACTTTTTCAGAGCAACCTTAAAATATTTGAAATATTTTTGGTCAGGTGACAAGCTCTCAACCAATCAAAAATCAATAAATTTTTGATTCAGGATATAATTCAAAATATTCTGTAGATCTTTCTATTCGTGTAGATCATAATTTAAAAAAAAATTGTGAGTACTGTTTAATGCCAGAATTAATTAATCACCAAGTGGGGCAATATTAAAGAGAAGTTGAGTTCTGGTGATGGTTTTTGCACAAGTTCTTTTACTGTCAGTGTGGAAAAATATTGTACATCTCTTGAAAAGGATTGGCCTTATGTTTGGAATATTACGAGAAGTAGCAGAAAAGTTTGGACCAAATTTTCATGCCATATGTAGGTGTAGTCTGATGTATGTCCCAATTGCTTCCAGAGAGTGTGTTTGTAAGCTTTAAAGCCCCTCTGCACTAGTTTGGCCAGGAGGGATAAGACACCCCCCCCCCTGCATGGTCACTGACAGGTGGTTATCTCATCAATCAGCTCTCAATAAACATAAGAAAAAGGGAACCATGGGGGACCGATGGTCACCGATTACGCATTGTTTGCTGTATAGAGGGCGCAAGTAGCTATAAGTAGTGCAGTGGGGCTTTAAAATTCTATGAATATCAGGAATATTACAATGAATACCTTATGTATCTGATCTCTTCTCATCACGATACGATAAACATCCGTCTCCTCCTCCTTCATGATCTTCATATCACCGACGCCCCTCTCCTTCCACTGCCGCACCCCTCCATCAAACCGGTAGAGTTTGCCACGCCCAAGGAACACTGCCACCTCCTGCTCCTCCCCTGTGATGATGTCCACGTTGTCTGGGAGCTTGACGATCGGATGGAAGTGGAATTCTCGCTCTTCCTCGGGGTTCACTTCGCCACCGACTTCAAAAGAATATGAATTGTGTTTCCATGAAGAGATTAATTTTGTCTTTACTCTGTGATATATAGTCGTTACAATGTTTGATGTATTCTTTCATAATTATATAAAATCTTGTGCTACAACATTAAAGTTAGAGCCAGGTTTTGAGATACACAGGTCATTGACTATCATAGTAATCACCTCCCTCAGCGAGGGATATTGGTGAAGGCTCTTAACTACTAAAAAGAAGGTTCTCGGTTCAAACCTTGCTTGGTGCTTAATACATTCTTGGGCAAGGTGTTTTACTCATATTTAGAGCTATTGTTGCTGGAGCATGTGATGTGTGAAACTAGGTTCTAGGACAACTACCCTCTGGACAACTACCCCCTACGGCAACCACCCTCTAGGACAACTACCCCCCGGACAACTACCCCCTACCGCAACCACCCTCTAGGACAACTACCCCCATCGACAACCACCCTCTAGGAAAACTACCTCCCGGACAACTTTCCCCTACGGCAACCACCCTCTAGGACAACTACCCCCTGGACAACTACCCCCTACGGCAACCACTTCTCTTTTTCAAAATGGCCGCCATAAAACAGATACCGGTATTTTCCTATATCTGCGCTTCTAAATAACATAGAGATTTGATTTTAAGTGCTAAACATATATTTTCTAGGGCCAGGAATCCAATGAAATACATTTCAATAAGCTAAACCTGACTAAAAAGCCCAAATGGTTGTTTTCCATGATTTCTATGGCCATGCACAGACTGTCGATCCTGAAACAGAAAAGATGAGAATAATCAAAACTGCAGCTAAACTGCGCTATGATCAGAGATGACATAAAGAGTGTCATGACCAGCATCACATGAGCTGTACCCTGACATGCTGTCGGAGGAGGAAAACATCAATTTCCTGCCAGAAAGCCTAAGGTTACTGCTGGGAGGATTGTTTGTCGTCAAGAATGTGCTCATGAAGACGTCCTCAATTGGGCAAGCAGCCCGACCTCAAGTTCTGCGGGCTCCACTGCAGATTGGACTGGTAGATTATGATAATGCATGGAGGAGTGGTATGACAATGCGTGAGATGCCATGCTATAAAATACACAAAAATGAGAGTGCACGATGAGTTTCCTCTCAGACTTAGCCTCACATTAGCTAGTCACCTTTGCTAGAGGGGGTTGCTTTGGCAACACCGTCTCCCGCATGACTGATAGAAGATGATGATGCGGTAGCTCCTCCCTCCTCCTGGCTACCGATCTGTCCACCATCATCAGCGGCTTCTTGGAGTCTGATCTTGGTCTGGGCTCCCTCAAACATCTCCTTGAAGGATGCAGCAATGGTTAGATCCTTGAACTTGATGGCTAGCAGCTCCAAAGTCGGTTCTCCGTCGGCTGCGTCCATGGCATGCCACACCCAGGCACGGTCTGACCCGGCCATCAGGTGCAGAGCCATGGAACTGGTGATGAAGTGGTCGGCGCACACCTGTAAATAATAGTTCACAATATTCTGGTTAGCAAGATTTTAGCCTCTATTTTGCCACTCCGTATCCAGGAGAATAATAGGACCAAGTAGAAGGATGAAAGCCATTGTTTGTACCTTCAGGTGACCTGATCGAAATACTACAATGGGAGTGGAGGTGGTGTAAACTTGATTATGGGTTATTATTAATAGGTGCACAAGAGACATTTAACCCCTTGACTCCTGGATTCTCTCATACTCATGGGGTATAAAGATAAAGTTGAGTTCTGGTCATGCAATTGCATTGTGAAAGAAACGTTGGGGAATTGATCAGAAAAGGTTGATCATACAATGCATACAAGTATTGGTGTGTACTGCAAGGTTCTGGAATAATCAAAATGATAAGAATTTTGGACCAGTTTTGGCACAGTAACAAGCGCCTGTACACAGAAAGAGGTTAAAGGAACTACTCAAACATGTGGCATAAAAATCGATTTTATGATGTTACATGCCATATTTAGAATATTAAGGCATTTGAAGAGCCATGCTTTTCAGGGAACATTTTTTATCTGATGTTCTTCCACACTTGCATTAATACAATGATAACGCTCACAAATCATTTTTCACCTCCTCCCAGAACACAACTTTCTCTCTAATAAAGGGATCACCCGGTTCCCGTACGCAATGAGTAAAAATGCTTTTAAAAATCAGGAATATTACAATGAATACCTTATGTTTCTGATCTCTTCTCATGAGGATTCGATAAACATCCGTCTCCTCCTCCTTCATGATCTTCATATCACCGACGCCCCTCTCCTTCCACTGCCGCACCCCTCCATCAAACCGGTAGAGTTTGCCACGCCCCACGAACATGGCCACCTCCTGCTCCTCCCCTGTGACGATGTACTCGTTGTCTGGGAGCTTGACGATTGGCTGGAAGTGGATGTCTCGCTCTTCCTCGGGGTTCACTTCGCCACCGACTTCAAAAAAATAATGAGATTTTATTAATTTGTATAAATTGTGATTAATAATAATAATAATAATAATATTCCGCTTTTATATAGCACCAATACATCGATACAACAAAGTGTCTAAGCGCTTTGCAGATATATTATTACCCTGGTCATCTGATTCAGGCTTACCTGCACACAATGTATGAACATTCTCCACTCCCTGGGGAGCATTCCGGCAATGAAGAGATCAAATTTATGTTTACTATGTGATATAGTCATTACACTGTTCGATGCATTCTTTCATAATTATATAAACCCTTGTGCTACAACATTGAAGTTAGAGCAGGGTTGTGTGATACACAGGCCATATTATAGTATTCACATGGGGTTCAGCAAGGCATTGGTAAAGACTCTTAACTACTAAAAAAAAAGGTTCTGGGTGTAAACTTTGCTTGGTGCTTAATACATTCTTGGGCAAAGCGTTTTACCCATATTCAGAGTAATTGTTGCTGGAGCATGTGATGTGAGAAACCATTATTGTGGCTATCATTATCATCCTTCGCTCTTGTCACCAGTTATCCACTTTCAGAACTCAACTAAAGACATACCAATTTTAGATTTCAGTTAGAATCATGGACATACATTTTTGGTAGTTTTTCAGTTTCATCAGCGCCTTTGATTAGGCAACTAGATATTGGCGCTTTATAAATTCCTGGATTGGATTGGATTGGATCATTATGATCAAAAGGTTTTAAATTTGTTTGAACCCAGTAAAACAATTCATGTATTTCTGCGGATGACTGACTCACTTGATTGAATGGTTGAGGTTGCAGCGTTGGGTTCCGACGATGCCTTGATAGCTTCAGCTAGAACAGACGAGAGGTTAGGATCACATGACCTGACTACTGGCTCCGCACTTTTAGAGTCTGGTCAGAAGAAAAAAAAGGGAAAATATACAAATAAAAAATTGGTAGATCAGCGGTCTTGTAACTGGAAGGTAGAGGTTTGAAAAAAAGTCAACGTGCTAGGGCTCTTCGGTAAAGAAAGATTTAATATTTTAATTTTTCATAGATGACTTGAAAATGAGTAGAACATTAGTACCTATGCATTGTCACACAGGATTACATCTACTATAAAGTAATCATAAATCAATAAATCAAATCAAATCAAATCATGTGGAATATAATGATTTTATGTTATATCTGATTTAACAAACAACGTATAGCTATAAAACATCTACATGTATCACCAAATTGAGTCAAATGATAGAGGAAGAGCCAAGTTGTTGTTTTATGCAGGAATGATAAAAAGAAACAAAATCATATGTTTGACAAAAATAAAGCACATAGCAGATGTCACTGGGGCCTATGTCTGCTGTCAAGAAACAAATTGTGTTTCTTGAAGACATTTGGTGACTTCATCAAAATAGGAGATAGATATGTACCTGCACCATCAGCCTTCTTTTCCTTTCCTCCATTCTTCTCCAAATCTTCTTTGGCCCTGTCAACAGCCTCCTTGAACTCTTTGGCCGTGTCTGCCGTCTTGAAGCGGACGGCTAGCTGTTCATTCTGGACCGTTCCTTCTGAAGCGTCCATTGCTGACCACACCCATGAACGGTCAGAACCAGAGTTAGGACAAAGCTCTATGTGGGAGGTGATGAAGTGGTTTGCACAGACTTTGAACACCTGATGGAGAGAATACAACAATATTTATCTGTGCACTGGACATTATAGAGTGATTATACAGATTTTCAATACTTTGTGGATAGAATACAACCATATATGTTTTCATGAAATGGACAAAGTGTTTGTGTGTGTGGGGGGGGGGGGTGGGGGGGGGGTATACATTTCCAATACTCTGTGGATAGTAATAATAGTAATAATAGTTGATTTCCCACTTAAATCAGACCATTCTTAGTTGAGATCAGAGAGGGAGGGGGGGGGGGGGTACATAGGCCACCTTCGCCTTCCTCCACCCTATCTGCTGTCTGACTCATTTAAAGAAAAGTGAGAATAATATGTGTGATGTTAAATTAAACCTTTATTGTATTCTTGCCAATTAATCTACAAGATTCTCTACAGAAGTGTATGAGAGTGGTATAAGGCAAGAATAATGTACAGTTTCTCAGCACGACATGGGCATCACCATTTTCTTGATAAAGTGACGTATATTTAAGTCGTTTATCAAGTAAATCTATTGAAATTTATGGATGGTTGCTTCCCATGTGTGTGTGTGGTGATGAAGTATTTCATTCACATGCTATCATCCTTTGTATTACAATTGTCAGAACGCAAATTGCATAAGTAAGTGCATGCGTGATGGTCTCGCCGAAATGAAATAGATATGTCAACTGCTATATTTAGTATTTCAAAATAAATGAATTATAATTGCTCCACTGTTATATATTATGCAGCAAATATAATGTTTATTTTTTCAGCTATGATTTTCCCTCATTGAAAAGTAAAAGTTTTGTTATTGAATTAAAAAATCTTTCTGAACTAAAGCTTGGTGCATGATACATGTACAATTTCGCCTGGTATGTCACACACCAAGAAAATGGCTACGCCCATGTCATGCTAAATGGCATTACATCATGCCAATAATATTTTCATTTATATATTTCTTGTACACTTTGGTAATTAGGAATAGTGTACAGTAAAGGGCAGGAATAAATCTCATTTCCCACAAAAACTACACTTATTCTATGGGGTGAGATTTCCTTTAGGACATGCAGACCACACAAAAATGTGTGTTATAAAAAGTTGAATGGCTAAGGTTACTTATTTTTTGATGAGGTCAATGTTTTTGTTCGACGGACCTGTTCTCTCCTCATAATGATCCTATAGGCAAGATCTTGAGCATTGTAGAGAACCTTGATATCTCCTACACCTCTCTCCTTCCATGCCTTCGCTTCACCATCGTAACGGTACAACTTGGCTCGGTGACTGAACTTCACTTCTTCTCCTTCCTCTCCTACAGATTAAGAATTGTTTTGTTTTAAATATGAAAAGAAAAACATACTTAAATTATAATAATTACAGATGCACTGATATAGCACAGACAATAAACAAGTTCGTGTATAATCTACTTTGCCAAAAAAACATAGTTACATTATTACCCTGGCTTTAGCCAAGCTACAGTGGTATAATTAAGGCACTCGATCTGGCATTAAAGGAATTTCTTCCTATCAGGTACCTTAATTACCTATGCCGAAAGTGACAATGTTAAGTATGTTGACAGGGATATGGGCCAAGTATACACTAAACCATGTGATCCTGGTCCATTGACTTATCCACCACAACACATAATTATCTACTTAATATTGTAAAGTGTATATATAGTCATGGTATTCTTGCCATTGCATGCACTTGCTAAAATGATCATCAATTGCCTAGTAAGTAAGTTTGGTTCTAACTAATAGGTATGTATAGTAAGCAAGTGTAACAACTCAGCATAACAACAGCTCTGAATAATTCAGATACATTCTACACAAAATAAATTCATGAAGATTTCACTATAACTTATACACTTTTGATCCATTCTCTAAATTCTGCCTTCCTGGTTTCATATCCCCCTTTCTCATAGCAAAAAAAAGAGGGAGGTATTTCTCTCGCACTTCGCAAATCCATTACACGCTTGGAGATGTGTCGGAAGGAGAAAACCCCCAAATTAGTTAAATCAGAACTGATTTTATTATTTACCATATAAATCTATGTATCTACCTATTATTGCTTAGTCCTCCAGACAAAGCAGTTATCAAAATAAAAAAGTCACAGTTGTGCATACCCCACCCCAAGACCCTGCTATACCACCTGTCACGTGCGCACCAGGCCCGCATGCAACTTCCTCTCTTAAAGCAGTCCCAGATACAACAAGGATAGGGGACGGAGGGAGGGACATAGGTAGATACATAGATTTATATAGTAAATAATAAAATCAGTTCTGATTTAACTAATTTACCACAATAAATCATATGTATCTAACCATTATTGCTTAGACCAACACAGATGAAAGCGGCGGGCATGTCCCAAACAAAAGGTTAGCAAGGGACCAGGCAAAAAGATGCCGACCCAAAAGACGCTGTAGCAAAACACTCCTCACTTGCAGGAATGTCCTTAAGATAACATGAAACGAAGGTGCTAGGCGAAAACCAGAAAGCTAATGACATGAAGCGCTACCCCACTGAAAAACCCAGGAGGTACCAAAAACCCTGGTATCTGCACGAGGACGCACACCCTCCGAGAGAGCTTCGGGACCCGCAGTTTGAACCGCCTCAACAATCCATCCAGAGATAGATCCCTTCGAGGCAGGTGAGACCTCTCCCGCGTGATAAGAAACAGCTGAACGCTATCAAGGAAAAACCAAAAACCCCATGCAGAGGGGAAAGGAGAAAACCAATCCACCTACCGACTTAAACCCAAACAAGGGCAGACAGCACATGGCGGCAAGCCAACAGCAGCACCAGGCAATCCGGGCCTAAAAGGTCTAATCGATGCCGGAGAAGCAACACCCGAGACTCAAAAATCGAACCCGAAACTGAGTCAGGCGTAACCGGGGCCGGCTCAAATGCCGGCCGAAGGAAAGGAGTAAACCTCTGTTATCACTGTTTTCTCTAGCGAGATGCCTGTAATCGCTGCCGTGAAATGTAAGGTTTTCGGACTCGCTTTGGCTTCTTGTGAAGCGTTGTAAGCGAGTCGGTGCCGGTCTCACCAGCCTTACAGCTGAAGCAGAAGCTTTAGTACGGCCGCGAAGTTCGCTTCGTCCCCCGTTTTTAGGGGTGAGAGCGGTGGAGTTCGTGGCTCTGGTTACATAGCTGGGACGGCTGGGTTTCGGCTGGGACAGGAGCTAAGAAGGCGAAAAAGAAATCTTCGCCAATGTCGGCCTTTTCCGCCACCACTCAGGCAGAGCTTCAGGGCGTTTTCACAAACGGCTACTGTTCCGCCGGGTCCAGTCCGTGTCGGGCTGCGTCCATCCACCATGCGTGGTTTTCAGTTTATTAAGGGCTGTCGCCGTGAATACAAAGACCAGACAAGCCATACTGTCTTGTCCGGAACGGCCAGCTTTGTAGGAGGCGCGGGCCTCGCAGACTAGCTGTGCGTAGTTGTTTTGCAACAATCTGTGCCGTCAGGAAATGACGCTCTAGGAGGTTTTTCTGTTCATTGAAGCCAAAGAGGCTGGCAAACGGTCAGCATCCTCACTCCTGGATTCACACTCGACAGATGCCGCTAGCAGCACATACAAGAAAACCCAAGCAAGGAGTCTTCAAGGAGAGACAAGAACTATGTTCTTACTATGGCAAAAGAGGACATGGAAGGAGTGCCCCAGCCGGCAGGTGCAATGCTCAGCTTATGACCAAAGATGCGGAAAGCGTATTTGGAAAGCGTTTGCCGCAGCAAGGACAAACCACGACATGTAAAACCTACTGCTCCCGTTGACCACAAAGGTGCTGTCTTTGATGCTTTATGTGCCATCCACACTTTGAAGCGGACATGGCCACGGGTGGACTGACCATTCCCCTTGACCACCATACAATCTCTCTGCCACATGGAAGGCCTCAGGAACCGCCACATGAGAGGTGCAGAAGGCTGGTCTGAATACACTAAACGGCTTCTGCTACTTGTCGTAGGCGATCATGTCCGTATCCAGAACCAGACGGGGCTGCATCCCTTGAAATGGGATAAGACTGGTGTTGTAGTGAAAGTCCGGCAATTTGACCAATACATCGTGCGAGTTGATGGCTCCGGGCGTTTCACCCTTCGTAATAGGAAGTTCCTGAGCAAGTAAATTCCTTTACACCTCCAAGCACCAAGGTTGACCATCGATGACGACATTGGTTTGCATCGTAACTCACTTCATCCGCCCGTTCCGCGCTCATATTCTGGGTCCACTGCACGTCCCCTCGGTCACAGCGAGGTCCCTGGACTTCCTCCGCTGACCGCGGCACCGCCCCATCCTTCAACGACCTCCGCTGGCCCCGTCACCGGCCTGTAGCATCCCTCATTGCCTACTGCACATGAGGATCCTCCTGCCCCTCCCCATCAGCATGGTCCATGACACTCCACGTTGTCGCCGTCCATTGTCTGTTGGTGCATCACCCCTTACTCCGGACGATCCATCTCCGGCCAGTAAGCCTGTCGCCGCGGTGCCCGCGATGTAGCCTTCCCAGGTTGATGGCCCCGGCCCTGCTATCCCGCTACCTGTGGCCACCTCTTCTGCCTCTCCCAGACGATCTGCTCGTTGTTCCGGCAGGCCTGCCTGGCACGCTGATTATAATATGTGACGTTTGCCCTTTGGACACCTTCACTCTTGCGTTCCTCGTTTTGCCTTTTGGCCAACTTTAACTCTTGCGTTCCTCGTTTTTGGTGTTACTTCAGTTACTTCATTTGGACCGTTGGTGTCGCGTTTGGTTTTTAATTTTCAGTCTTTGTCACCAAAGCTTCTGTGTTTCAACTTTGTGCCAAAGACTTGGGGGGAGATGGGGAAAATGGATATTGGACTAATCCATGGATTCATGTGTTATCCCTTACTTTGCAGACCGTGGACATTGTGATATCCAGCTAGTCAACCAAATGTCAGCTGGTGTAAGCAAATAGATAGGTACTTATTTACACACTATTGTCCCCACAAAGGAACAGATCAGCCGTGGCAATCCCCTCACAATTAAAGAGACGGGATGTCACGCAAAAAGTCCGCCGTGCACGTGAAAATAGTCCACATGACGCCCAAGAGCGAGCAACAGAAATAAATTCTCCAAACAAGGCAAAAACCTCCAGCTCGTCATCCCTGGAAGAGGAGAGGAAGACAACTCTGTCTAAATTCCTGAGTAGAGGCAGAGTATCAGGTAAAGAACGCTGTAGACAGCGAAGAAGGAACACTACCACCGGAGCTGGGCCAAGAAAAAAATATCAGGAAGATTCTTTCCTAAGAAAACCTCGCGTTGGAAACCAGACCCGGGGCTGAGGACAACTCGCGGCCCAAACCTCCGAGACATGGGAGACAGAGTCCTAGTCACACTGACAACTCAAAGCTGAGGTAAGACCACCACTGAGTCAAATAACTCCTCTCCCGGAAAAGCACCGAGAAAAGCGGGCGCCGTAGACACAAAGCCTAACGGAGAGCCGACTGCATGGGGTGACAATTACGCCACAGGAGCGACATCCAAGAATTCAGAAAAATAATCTGACTCTGAGGAAAAAGAGCCCAGCTCTGAGACAAAACAAGCCGGAGCATGGGTTACGTCAGGCACCGAACCACTAACGTGCCGGGTGACAAATTTGCACCGAAATTTGTGCACCTGCCAAGACAATAGCCCACGACCCGGCCGAAGCTTGGGTGCTCGAACCATTCCGCCTCTTATCACCCGCCGCAACGGGGGATGAAGGAGGCTTCTTGGCCTTGCTAGCTTTCTCAAGATTGGCACTATGGTCAGATTGACCTGGGCCGTCCCGCTTCACTGCTTCTATAGAAACTTGGGCCAAAACCCCTACGGTCAGTGTAACTGGGGCCCGCACGCTGCAATGTTTCGAGAGAAGCTTCAGCGAAACCCTTTGGTCGGTGTGACTGGGGCCTGATCGAGTGAATGCTTCGTGAGAAGCTTCAGTGAGCTTGTGACCCTGGTGTTCCACTGGGGTGAACTTAACGCACAGCGAGCTCAAACAAAAGAGCCGCACCGTTAACACACACTTTAACAACACACGAGGTATGCGCAAAGAATACCCGTAACATTCAAATAAACACACACAGTGCAAAAGCCCCGGTACACAAAAAACTGTGCCCAGGACTGAACTCAAAAAAGGAAGTTCGCTTGGCAAAAGTGAACACTAATTACGGCCAAACTAAAGTGAATGAGGGTGAAAAAACCGAACCAAAACAGGAAATGAACTGGAAATGACAGAAAGAAAGGCACCCCAAAACGCTGCTAGCTAGAGTCAAAAATTCAAAAGTTTGCGCGAGTGACTTATATGTAGTCCTTATCGATTGACTGCGAAAAAAAGAGAGGAAGTTGCATGCGGGTCGCACGTGACAGGTGGTATAGGGGGTGGGGTATGCACAACTGTGACTTTTTTATTTTGATGACTGCTTTGTCTAGAGGACTAAGCAATAATAGGTAGATACATATAAATTATTGTGGTAAATAAAATCTTCCACTCCTGGATAATCTAAATTCCTATGACTAATAATCCAACCCTGCCTCACCCCTTGCTTCAATTACAGTTACAGTTCAAAACAAAGTTGTACCAGCAAGACAAACATCTGAAAACCCAGAAAAGACAAAAAAAATATTACATTGTCCTGAATGGCTCAAAATCAGTTATTTGGAGTTAGTTTGGTGGTGTGCCTGCGGTTTCACTAACCCTGCAAAAATGTGTTTAGATACTTTTTGTTAAAAACATGGTGCACTCACCCGTCCTGACTTCATAATCTTTTGGCATCTGGAAGATGGGCTTAACGTAAACATCTTCCACATGCTCCACCTCCTTATCGAGGTCCATGCAGAAGGTGAAAGACGAACCCTGAGACTTGGCTATGTTGGTGAGGGTCAGAGCAGGTTTGCTGTTTGGTGTAGAGGATGCTGATGAGGCGTCTGCTTTTGATTCGGAATCAGAGATCGAGGACTTTGATTTGACAAGAATAAAAGAGAAGAAAAATGGTACAAAATCAGCATCAAGAAGATTACTAACTTATTAGTCATAAGAGTTTCATCTACATTGAATCTAAAACCATGACCTTTTGACCCAGAGTTATTTGGCAGGAATCAAAGAAAAGAATACTGGCATACAAATGATAGAAAAAAGATTAGTATTCAGACTGAAAGGTCCCTATATTCTACTCCTTCAGTCAAACCAGGCCCTAGCTTTATAGTCATGATTAATAAAATGAAAAAGTAGATCTCAGAAGAATTTCGTTTGTTAACTCATAGCATGCAAAGAGGCTGTATGCACGCTACCGTTATAGTGCTTTGTGCATGCGAGCTAACCATTGATTCACTGCTATGTGCGTGCAAGCACGCATTCGTAATAGCAGTTATTGTTCATGCTTAATGGACTGTGCTGTGTGTTTTGCACGCGCTCATTCATAGAATCATCACGAAAATGGCTGCGCCCATGTCATGCTAAAAGGCATTACATCATGCTAAGAATATCTTCATTTATATATCTCTTTTACACTTTGGTAAGTAATAGTTTCCAATAAAGGGCAGGAATACATCTCATTTCCCACAAAACCTACACTTATTCTATGGGGTGAGGTTTCCTTTAGGATATGCAGACCACACAGAAATGTGTGTTATAAAATGTTGAATGGCTAACATTACTTCTTTTTGATGAAGTCAATGTTTTTGTTCTAACCTGTTCTCTCCTCATGATGATCCTATAGGCACAATCTTGAGAGTTGTAGAGAACCTTGATATCATGCACACCTCTCTCCTTCCATGCCTTTGCATCACTATCGTAACGGTACAGCTTGGCTCGGTGACTGAACTTCACTTCTTCTCCTTCCTCTCCTACAGATTAAGAATTTTTTGTTTTAAATACGAAAAGAAAAACATACTTAAATTATAATAATTATAGATGCACTGATATAGCACAGCCAATGAACAAGTACATGTATAATCTACTTTGCTTAAAAAAACAAAGTTACATTATTACCCTGGCTTTAGCCAAGCTACCGTAGCAATTAAGGCACTCGATCTGGCATTAAAGGAATGTCTTCCTATCAGGTACCTTAATTACCTATGCCAAAAAACAATGTTAAGTATGTTGACAGGGATATGGGTCAAGTAAACACTAAACCATGTGATCCTGGTCCATTGACTTATATCCACCACAACACATAATTATCTACTCAATATTGTAAAGTGTATAGTCATGGTATTCTTGCCATTGCACTTGCTAAAATGATGCAATTGCCTAGTACGTTACTTTAGTTATAACTATATGTAGGGCCTATAGTAAGCAAGTACAACAACTTAGCATAACAAGAGCTCTGAATAATTCAGATACATTCTACACAAAATAAATTCATGAAGATTTCACTATAACTGATACACTTTTGATCCATTCTCTAAATTCTGCCTTCCTGGTTTCATAACCCTCTTCTTCAGAGCAAAAAAAAGGGAGGTATCACTCTCGCACTTCGCAAATCCATTACACGCTTGGAGATGTGTCTGAAGGAGAAAACTCAAAGATAAAATCTTCCACTCTTGGATAATCTAAATTCCTATGACTAATAATCGAACCCCCACCTCACCCATTGCTTCAATTACAGTGAAAGTTCAAAACAAAGTTGTACCAGCAAGACAAACATCTGAAAACCCAGAAAAGACCAAAAAAATATTACATTGTCCTGAATGGCTCAAAATCAGTTATTTGGAGTTGGTTTGGTGGTGTGCCTGTGGTTTCACTAACCCTGCAAAAATGTGTTTAGATACTTTTTGTTAAAAACATGGTGCACTCACCCGTCCTGATGACTTCATAATCTTCTGGCATCTGGAAGATGGGCTTAAAGTTAACATCTTCCACTTGCTCCACCTTCTCATCGAGGTCCATGCAGAAGGTGAAAGATAAACCCTGAGACTTGGCTATGTCGGTGATGGTCAGAGCAGGTTTGCTTGGTGTAGAGGATGCTAATGAGGCGTCTGCTTTGGACTCAGAATCAGAGATCGAGGACTTTGATTTGACAAGAATAAAAGAGAAGAAAAATGGTACAAAATCAGCATCAAGAAGATTACTAACTTATTAGTCAAAAGAGGTTTATCTACATTGAATCTAAAGCCTTTAGAGTGACCAAGAGTTATTTGGCAGGAATCAAAGAAAAAATTACTGGCATACAAATGATAGAAAAAAGATTAGTATTCAGACCGAAAGGTCCCTATATTCTACTCGTTCAGTCAAACCAGGCCCTAGCTTTATAGTCATGATTAATAAAATGAAAAAGTAGATCTCAGAATAATTTCGTTTGTTAACTCATAGCATGCCATGAGGCTGCATGCACGTTACCGTTACAGTGTTTTGTGCATGCGAGCTATATGATTCACTGCCATGTGCGTGCAAGCACGCATTCGTAATAGCAGTTATTGTTCATGCTTATTGGACTGTGCTGTGTGTTTCGCACACGCTATATATTCATAGAACCATCGCGTGAATCAGATTATCTCAGATTATTAGGCCGGGGCTTGGCACAATGGGGATTAATTAGGCCTGTGGCATGATAAGATTTCAAACAAAGTCTATCGTAAGCCTAGCGCAAGTTTAAATTTTAGTTGAATACGAGCTCAAGAATTTTAACATCACTGAAACTGAGCCCAAGGCCCTAAAGTGACTGGGGCAAGTTTGGCAAGAATCAATGAAAAGAAATTCGGAAAATAATTGGTAGATAGCAAATTCAACTCAAATTTCAACAAATTTTTTGAAATACATGTAAATTAGCTGTATAGAATTCAATCTGCAAGAATTCATACCGCTTTAAAAAAACTAAAAAAAACTTGTGGGTTAAGTTATACTTATCTTCTTTCTACCTGTTATAAAAGTGTATTGTCATTGTGTATTTGGCAAATTTGCCTATTAAAAACAAAACAATTAGCCACATGCAGTGTTAAGCATTCATCAGACCAATGACTCATATGTAAATATTCAAGTCTGATATAGTAAAAACAATCTTACAATCTTACAATCTTACAATCTTACTTCATATACTATCATTTGATGATGTACACTTATGGGCACCTGTATGTTATGGTTGTGATAATACACTCACGTTGAGGGCACTCGAGAATGGGTACCCTTCCTTGGTTTCACCTGCATCTGGTTTAGCTGAAGGAAAAATGATGGAGAATCCTGAATCAGCCTTGGATTTGTCCTTGCCACCAAAGGAGAACTGAGGTTTGTGTTTACCAAAGGTGAACCATGGGTTCCCTTCCTTGGTTTCCCCCGCATCTGGTTGACCGAAGGCGAACCCTGCATCAGACTTGGATTTGTCGTTGCTACCAAAGAAGAACGTAGGCACGTATTTACCAAAGGTGAACTTGTCCGTGACCAAGGTACCACCTAGAGCGGTTGCACCGGTAGAAGTTGATGGTGCTGCCTCATTGCTATCGGCTGCACAAAACGTGAAGCCTGTTGAAAGTGCCTTGATGGCACTATCATTCTCCTTAGGCTTATGGGTGTCATCTTTTTTGGCGTCAAAGACTAATCCTGTGAAAGGTGTCGACTGAGATGAGAGGCTGGATCCTGCAGGAACCTTGAATGCTACACTTGAGGATGCAGCACCGTCAGTTGTTGTTAAGTCCAGGGTGGAACTTTTCGAGGCAGAAGAGTTTCCAGACAAGCTAAACCCAGCAGGTACCTTGAAGGCGACACCACTACCAGTGGTACTTCCAGCGGTCGGAGAACTTTCAAAGCCAAGTCCAGTACGTGCACCGCTTGGCTTGGATCCTAAGGTTAACCCCAATGGAGAAGCAAAAGCACCACCGACGGCGCCTGTACTGGTACTAGCGCCGGTAGGTTGTTTGGGATCCGTACCTGGCTTTGGAGCAGTACATGCAGTGCAGGCAGAAGACTTAGCTACATTGTTAGTGTAACAGGCGTCGCAGTCCCATGACTCAGGCTTATCGGCAAACTTTGCTGCAAGTGCAGAACTTGTGCTAGGAGCACCGGCATCGGCACCCTTAGCACCAGAGGTAGGCACTGCCTTGGGTGCAGTACAGACAACGCAGGCAGGAGACTCAGCTGCATTGTTAGAGTAACAGGCATCACAGTCCCATGAACCATATTCATTGGTAAGCTTTGCTTTCAGGCTGGCTGATGACTGTGAAAAAAAGAAAAACAATCAACAACAAACAAATTTAGTGGTAGTAACACCTACATGTACATCATATATATCATGCACATATCCTAGGGGATTGCCAAGTTGCAAAAAAGATCTGCAGCAGATCTGCCACAGATCTGCTGCAGGAGTATGCGGCAGGCACATTTCTTTGCTATCCATTGACAGGTTCTCAGAATATAAATTGTGATCACAAGCTATTTTTGCATACATAATGAGCCCTGTGAACTTTTACCTTTTGACCCCAAGATCTTAAATCAGTTCAATGCCTCTGCAAGATACATACATGACCCAAGTTTGGCGGGAATCCATCAATTGGTTCAAGCACAAAGTGGTGCCTTCAACTGCACCTCTGCGTTGGTTTTTGAAGACAGACCTGGCGTGCTGCCTGCGATAAAGGATTCCATTGTATTTCTTGTCTTTCTAAATATGGCCATGGTCTTCAATGTTCACCCTGCAATGATACTTTTCAAGTGGACATTTATGCTGCTGTGAAAGGAGTGAGATAATCGCTTTATAGTATGTTTTCATATTCATTAGAATGAATGCAATGTTTACTTCTATAAATCAATACTCTGTGATTCAAACTTTATGATTCTGAACAGATTCATAGTTTTTTAGCTATTAAGGTCTTACCTGTATCTTTGGCTGAGCTGCTGCAGGGTGGAGAGTGGCCTTTGAAGATGCTGCAGGCTTGAAGACACCTGCTGTTGAAGGAGCAGATGTGGAGAAGCCATTGAATGGGGATGCATCAGAACGAGTGGTGGCTGGCTTGGCTGAAGAGGGCAGCGGTTTGACAGTGCTTGGTGAGAAGGAGAAACTGCCGAAGGCTGGACTTGGTTTGGAGGTGGCAGAAGCAGGGCATGGAGTAAATCCTGTGAACTTTTGTAGAGAATAGAGGAACGAAAGCATACATCATAATAGGAGGAAGTACAACTCCCATTGCTATTTCAGTCATGAGGATGACATCACACAAATATCTAGAAATTCACAAATTCTTATGCTCTGGCAAAAAAAAAGAAGAGAGTTTTGTGCATATGTAATGACATTTTGTAAAGGAAAAAGTAAGTTTAAACTAGTGGGGCTGGAGCAATCAAAACCTTTTATCAGCAAAATAACTTTAGATGGTAAACAGCAACTTGCTAAAAAATGTCTGGGTACATGGATGCCAGAAAAAAATGGGTTTTGAGAACCGGTCCATAGTAAAATCATGAATTATGACAGATTGGTACCAAGAAATAGAAGGGTTCTATTCTGTTTCTTGTCTTTCAAAATATGGCCTGAGTCTTCACTTTTCACCTGCAATAATACATATCAAGTTGCCATTGATGTTGTTGCAAAACTGTTGAGATAATCACTTTGTTTTCATATTCATTAGAATGAAGGCAATTTTTATTTCTATAAATCAATACTCCACGATTCAAACTTTATGATTCTAACCAGAATCATAGTATTGAGAAAGGTCTTACCCGTATCTTTGGCCGAGCTGCTGCAGAAGTAGGAAGGAGTGAAGCAGGGGAACCCCCTCCATTAACAGCAGTAGCTGCCATTTTAGCCAGCCTCTGTCTGTCAGTAGTTTTCTGTGGCTGGAGACTCACTTTGCTTGGTTCTCCTGCTGCACCTAGGGGTTTGGTTGGTGTCCCTGCAAAGGAGCTCAGGCCCGGTGTGGTCACGGGCAGAGTCACATTCTTGACGCCCCTCTCAGGGGTGCTGACGAAGCCCCTTTTGGGTACCTGGGCGGGGGCTGCAGGGGTAGGTCTGGCTGCGGCAGAGGGGGATGGGGAGCCTGGTAAGAAAATGGCCGGGGGACAACACCATGAGACTTGGATGGCATTCCACTGGCTACAGCCAGGGTTATATGTGTAAAGCGCTATGAGCGTAAGAGCCTGGCGGATACCGGCACTGTATAAATATTATTATTACAATTACATTATTTCTGTACACACATCCTGGGATTCCTTTATAACAAGAAAACAAATTTTGATCAAATTTCACAAACCTTCACCCTCTGACTTTAAGGATACAGACTTGGGTGTGTCTGCTTCTTTGGGCGATGCAGCCTCCTTGGCCAGAGGACTCTGTCCCGGCTTCCTGGAGGACAGTACCGTCTGATCAGCCTGTGGAGAGCCGGCAAACCCTTTCGGAGAGGCAAAGAACCCTGGATACACCAGTGATGCGGACCTTGCTTCTTGGCTAGGGTTAGGTTTGCCGAAGACCACTGGCGATCTTGCTGCTGCAACTGCAGGCTGGAGAGTGGCCTTTGAAGGTCCTACAGGCTTGAAGACACCCGCTGTTGATAAGGTGGACGTTAACGGAGCAGACGTGGTGGTAGACATGCCGAAGGAGAAGCTAGTGAATAAGGATGCAGAGGAGGAAGTGGTGGCTGGCTGGGCTATAGAGGGCGCTGGTTTGACAGTGCTTGGCGAGAAGGAGCAACTGCCGAAGGCTGGACTTGGTTTGGAGGTGGAAGAAGCAGGGCATGGAGTAAATCCTGTGAGCTTTTGTAGAGAATAGAGGAACGAAAGCATACATCATAATAGGAGGAAGTACAACTCCCATTGCTATTTCATTCATTGTTTCTTGTCTTTCAAAATATGGCCTGAGTCTTCACTTTTCACCTGCAATAATACATATCACGTTGACATTGATGTTGTTGCAAAACTGGTGAGATAATCACTTTGTTTTCATATTCATTAGAATGAAGGCAATTTTTATTTCTATAAATCAATACTCCACGACTCAAACTTTATGATTCTAACCAGAATCATAGTTTTGAGAAAGGTCTTACCCGTATCTTTGGCCGAGCTGCTGCAGAAGTAGGAAGGAGTGAAGCAGGGGAACCCCCTCCATTAACAGCAGTAGCTGCCATTTTAGCCAGCCTCTGTCTGTCAGTAGTTTTCTGTGGCTGGAGACTCACTTTGCTTGGTTCTCCTGCTGCACCCAGGGGTTTGGTTGGTGTCCCTGCAAAGGAGCTCAGGCCCGGTGTGGTCACGGGCGGAGTCACATTCTTGACACCCCTCTCAGGGGTGCTGACGATGCCCCTTTTGGGTACCTGGGCGGGGGCTGCAGGGGTAGGTCTGGCTGCGGCAGAGGGGGATGGGGAGCCTGGTGAGAAAATGGCCGGGGAGACAACACCATGAGACTTGGATGGCATTCCACTGGCTACAGCCAGGGTTATATGTGTAAAGCGCTATGAGCGTAAGAGCCTGGCGGATACCGGCACTGTATAAATATTATTATTACAATTACATTATTTCTGTACACACATCCTGGGATTCCTTTATAACAAGAAAACAAATTTTGATCAAATTTCACAAACCTTCACCCTCTGACTTTAAGGATACAGACTTGGGTGTGTCTGCCTCTTTGGGCGATGCAGCCTCCTTGGCCAGAGGACTCTGTCCCGGCTTCCTGGAGGACAGTACCGTCTGATCAGCCTGTGGAGAGCCGGCAAACCCTTTCGGAGAGGCAAAGAACCCTGGATACACCAGTGATGCGGACCTTGCTTCTTGGCTAGGGTTAGGCTTGCCGAAGACCACTGACGATCTTGCTGCTGCAGCTGCAGGCTGGAGAGTGGCCTTTGAAGGTCCTACAGGCTTGAAGACACCCGCTGATGATAAGGTGGACGTTAACGGAGCAGACGTGGTGGTAGACATGCCGAAGGAGAAGCTAGTGAATGAGGATGCAGAGGAGGGAGTGGTGGCTGGCTGGGCTATAGAGGGCGCTGGTTTGACAGTGCTTGGCGAGAATGAGAAGCTGCCGAAGGTTGGACTTGGTTTTGAGGTGGCAGAAGCGGGGCTGGGAGCAAATCCTGTGAACTATTGTTGAGAGTGGAGAAAAGAACGCAGGGAATCAAAATCAATACAGCATAAAGGGGGAAATTACAACTCCCTGCTGCTATTTCAGTCATTAGGAAGATACATACAGATCTAGAAATTGAAAAATTTCTATCCTCTGGCAAATTTTTGCTTGTTTATAGTTTTGCTTCACTGAAAACATATGTCCTATTCCTTGGTAAGAAGTGAAAAAGGCCTGTTTCAAGGCACATGAGTACATGTGTACACATCTGATAAGTTTTGTGCACACGTAATGAATATCAAAGCAATAAGTTAGTAAATAGGAACTTGTCTGGAAAAATTGTCTGGGTACATGGATGCCCCCCCCCCCCCCAAAAAAAAAGGGCTTCGAAAACCGACCCAAAGTGAAATTATGAACCATGACAGACTGGTACCAAGAATAAAGAAATAGAAGGGTTCTATTCTATTTCTTGTATTTAAAAAAATGACCAGGGTCTTCAATGTTCGCACTGTAATGATACTTATCAAGCTGACATTGATGTTGTTGTGAAAGGAGTGAGATAATCATTCTGTTTTCATATATTTATTGGAATGAAAGTAATATTTACTTCTATAAATCTATGATTAAAACTGTATGATTCAGAACAGATTCCTAGTTATGAGCAAGGTCTTACCTGTGTCTTTGGCTGAGGTTGTGCAGAAGTATGAAGTGAAGCAGGGGAAGGGGAACCCCCTCCCGTAGCAGCAGCAACTGCCATTATAGTCAGCCTCTGTCTGTCAGTCATATTCTGATTAGCAATCCCCAGTGGCTGGAGGCTCGCTTTGCTTGGTTCTCCTCCTGTGCCCAGTGGTTTGGTTGGTGTCCCTGCAAAGGGGCTCAGGCCCGGTGAGGCCACCACGGGTGGAGTCACGTTTTCGATGCCCCTTTCAGGGGTGCTGACGAAACCCCTGTTGGGTACCTGGGCGGGGGCTGCAGGGGTAGGTCTGGCTGCAGCCGAGGGGGATGGAGAGCCTGGTGAGAACATGGCCGGGGGGACAACACCATGAGACTTGGATGGCATTCCACTGGTGATTGAACCACCTGATAATAAGAAGAATGGACCCAGGTTCAAGACGTTTCTCAAAAAAATGTGTTTCAGGTCTACATTCTACGAGAATATGTTAGTCCACATGGCATTACATCTTCAAAATTGTATTCCTGAGGTTGACCAAACTTAATCACTGCAAAGGACATCATTAATAAATTTGTCACTTGAAACAGACAAAAAAGTCTTTTAAGTTTCACGTTATTAGCGTAAGCGTAGCATCCTCTCGCAGGGTACAAATGGCCTATATACGTCAGAACAAGTTACCTCCATTGGACTATACTATCATATTACTAGGCAAGGAAATTAACCACATTTATATATAATTAGTGTTTTTGCATATTTATTGAGCTATGACCTTTCACCTTTGACCTACATACTCACAAATCGAACTTAGGCTGTACATGTATTTTTTATACCATGTACCTCCATATTAAATTTCATAGAAATTCGTGAAACATTACTCAAGTTATCGAATGGAAACCAGATTCGCATATTTAATGAGCTATGAACTTTGACCTAGATACTCCGAAATCAAACTTAGGCTGTGTTTTGATACCATGAACCTTCCCCAATAAACAAAATCACATGAAAATCACGTCAATATCAACTTATAACTTATTTTTCACACCTAAATATCGCAGATTCACAGCTTAGATTAGTAATCAGTTTTAGCCACGTGATCATCACCAAGAAAGTTATGGTAACTTTGAAACCATTTAAAAAGGTGTTTTTAGACACCTAATAATGACTAATTTTTCACCCCTAAAAATCACAGATGCCCAGCTTAGATTAATAATCCATTTGAGTCACAAGATCATTACCGCGGAACTTATGGCAACCTTGGCTACCATTTAAAAAGGTGTTTTAAGGCAACTCATAATTACTTATTTTTCACACCTAAATATCACGTATTCACAGCTTAGATTAGTAATCAGCTTGAGCCACGTGATCATCACCAAGAAAGTTATGGTACTTTCAAACCATTCAAAAGAGGTGTGTAAGACACCTCAAAATTACTAATTTAATACAACTAGAGATTCACGGATAGAACAATAAGACGATTAGCCGGTGTAAGTAACATGATTATTACCATCAACCTTGGATAACCTGTGAAACCAATTGATAAGGGTGCTTAAAAGACCAAATAATTACTTATTTATCACCACCATCGGTTAACGGATAAAAAACTTGTTGCTTGGTCAAGTGGTTATTTGGTCATAAACACTTGATTTACAGAGGTAAGTGGAATCACGTTACTCCAGTCGCATGATAAATTGGTTGTTTTTAGGTTAGATGAAAACGTAAACAGGAGTACTTTTTTTGTTTAAATGAAGGCACGTGTTGATAATGTTTAAATCTAGTTAAAAAGGCACCATACTTTAAAATCACTTAAAATACACTCCCAAAAGAGGTTATTTTTTAGTGTTCTGTTTATTAGGTCATATCAAATTTCATTAAAATCCGTCAAACAATACTAAAGTTATGGATCAGAAACCAGATTTGCATATTTAATGAGTTATGACCTTTGACCTACATACTCGGAAATTGAACTTAGGCTGTGTTTTGATACCGTGTACATTCATATCAAATTTCATTAAAATCCGTCAAAGAATACTAAAGTTATCGATTGGAAACCAGATTCAAATATGGTATTTAATGAGCTATCACCTTTGACCTGCGTACTCCAAAATTGAACTTAGCCTGTGTTTTGATAACATGTACCTTCATATCAAATTTCATTTAAATCCGTCAAACATTACTAAAGTTATTGATTGAAAACCAGATATGTATTTTCTCGCATATTTAATGAGCTATGACCTTTGACCTTTGACCTACTTACTCCAAAATCAAACTTAACCTGTGTTTTGATAACATGAACCTTCATAACAAATTTCATTAAAATCCGTCAAACATTACTAAAGTTATCGATCGGAAACCAGATGTGTATTTTTTCGCATATTTAATGAGCTATGACCTTCGACCTTTGAACTTCGTTCTCCGAAATCGAACTCAGTCTGCATCTTTGATATCATGTACCTTCATTTCAAATTTCATTGAAATCTGATCGATCGGAAACCAATTTAGTTGAATATAAAGACCACTCAAGGGTGCACAAGAAAATTGGTCTCTATAAGCAGGTGGTCTTTATGTACAAGTTCCTCTAGTACGTCAGGTTTCTATCAGAAAAGATTGTCAATTACATACAGGTGGGTCACTAAAGCAGGTTTCACTGTATATATATATATACCCATTTTGTGGGCCCACAAAAAAAATCCCACAAAATCCCACAAAAAAATCTCACAAAATCCCACAAAAAATCCAAAATCCCACAAAATCCCACAAAATCTCACAAAATCCCACAAAAATCTCGCTGCAGAATATAACTAGGAGGAATTTTTGCAAACAGAAACAGGGAGAAAAAACACCAGCAGGAACTTACTTTGTCTGGAAGCCAGCGGATGTTGAGGCTGCTGAGGAGGTTGCTGGGGTGCTTGCTGGGGAGCTTGCTGGGGCAGCTGAGGGGATGAAGTGGCTTGGGGGGCTGGCGATGGGGTCCAACCAGTCACACCCTGGTTGGCTGGTGTGGTACGAGCTGGTATGGAAGGGGCTGGTGCAGTGGGGGCCTGGTTGTGAGCTTCGGCTTGTTGAAGTTTGATCTCTTGAAGGTCCTTCTGTGGATTTGAAATCATATGGTATGGTGAAAAGGGGTCGTTTAGCGTGGCACAAGCAGATGTGGCGTGAGTTGGTGCAGCGGAGCCTGGTGCAGAGGGGGCTGTTAAAGAAGGGGCTGGTGCCATGGCCGGGGGCCTGGTGGTGAGCCTTAATTGGCTTGTTGAAGCTTGATCTCTTCAAGGCCTTTCTATGGATTTGAAATCATATGGAAGGGTGGTTTTGTGGTCAAGTGGATAAGTAATATTTCGACTTTAGATAGGTAGGTATAGGTCAAAGTGTAAAACGTACTTCTCTGTTTACTTCCTGTTTACTTTCTGTCCCGTTTGCAGGCCCCCAAAAATGAAAAGGTTAAATTCCAACGGCATTTGAAAGACAACACTAATTTAGAACTTCCATTAAAACGAAAAGGGCTTGAAAATGGCTTTAAGTGGGAAAATAACAACCATTAGTTGTTGAATCGACATAAGTGATTGCTTCTTCTTCTTCTTGATTTTATTTTATTTGGCAATCAGTCTCAGCTAATTATTTTAGCCACACACTATTTTATGAATTATTTACCTAAGCAATAGTCTGATTTTCAGACCCTTTTGCCGAATGATCGTTCCTTTTGTGCTGCACAAAGATTCAATCAGTTTAATTTTGGCCATTACAAGTAGTGGGCTATTGATGCAGACCAATGCTCATGTACCCTTTACAGCTCATTTCGTCGCTGTTTTCACAAAGTGACGGTAGTGAAAAAAAATTGCATTCACTTTGCGTTACGATTTTCCTCACTACCGTCACTTCGTGAAAACAAGGACGATTTTATGTAATTATTACCAAAGAAAAAAAAAGGTCAGTGAGTCACTCAATAGTGTCTGACATTGAAGTCTAGAATGTAAACGGGTTTCCTTGCATTATTTGAATACTAAATTTCCATAATTCCTGCAAAGTTCTACAGAATATTCGGCTGCAAAAGGGATATAGTATCTTTAAGATTGGTGTTGTTTAAGTGCCATTTATTTGTGCGTATGTGCGTTATTGAATAAACTTTTTATCAAATGTTTAGCGATGTGGTGATTCTTGCAGTCAGGAGAAAGGTGACTTCAAAAGCTGGTCCACAAATATTAACAATTACGAGCATTGTTTAATAAACCAGGTATCAAATGCTAAAGCAACATGGTGAAACTTACGGTGAGTTGAAGGACTTGTTCCGTGAGCTCAGCGTAAGATCTCTTGAGTTCAGCGTTTGATTCAATGATCTTATCTTCTCTCTTTATCAATCTTTGATTCTGCTCAAGTAGATGTGAGTGAGACAGTTTCAGGGCTGCCAGATAACAACGGCTCGGGACAGGACACAGCTAGGATGTGGAAGAAGTAAGGAATATTGATTTTTTAAATAAAAATTGGTTCTTTTCCACTGGAATATTTGTAGGGACATGTGATATAGATACAGGTAACATCACAAAGCTTTCTGCTAGAATTACCGGCTTGTATGACATAACATGAACAGAACTGTTACAGAATAATCATAGAATTTTCATCTGTTTTACATTTAAGTCCTGTATTTCAACTCCAGCACCGACTTGCATGTTTGGGGTTAAATGCTCCATCAATACCTTAAATTGCAATCCGTTTAATAAGCCCTCAAAATCACTAACTTTAAGCCTTTGTTTCAATTTATCTTCTTCCAACGTATGCACCTGATAACTCTCCTCAGAATTAGATCAAAACTTCAACACTTATTATCAAAACAAGTGTAGAACAAATATTTTGGTTAAACTCATACTGCCATATGTTTAAACATGGAGATCTTACATAAACATAAGCATACATGTAACATCTATCCTATGTTAAAAATTAGAGGAGACATAGTTAAGATTAACCATAAGAATAAGCTCTGCATGAATAAGAAAGTCTAGTCGTTATCTCACATTAATAGATTGTAAGAATGCATGCACTATTGGGAATTACTTCAGTGCTTTTTTTTAACTGTTCAGCATACTGAGACTAAGATATAGTTCTCTCTTTATGAACTCCCTGTGTGGGGAGTATCCTCACGTGAGATTGTCCCGAGGTGAAACTGAGTGTGCTTTGAGTCATGAAGATATCATGATACATAGAATTCTTGTTTTTCATCTTACTTGTTCAGGGTGCTGAGACTGTGGCAGGGTCCTGTTCTCTCTCTGCATCACATCCGTGAATAGCCATTTGTAGCCATGTAAGGGCCTCTTACGGCGGGAGCTTCTGGTGGTCTCTACAATGAAGGAGCTGTGTCTGATGGAAGAAAGGTTGGAGATGTCTGGATTGTTGTTGGCCTCCAGGGTGGATATCTGCCCCATGATGGAGGCCTGCTCCGCCTCGATTTCCTCCAGGAGAGTCAGGACTATCTCATGGAGCGGCTGGAGATGGAGAAAAGGAGATGAACAAGGATACAAGAATGAGAAGAGAGAAGAAAGGAGTAAAACAGAAGTAAAAACTAGATGGAATTTTGACTGCGCGCAGTCGAAAATGATGCCTCCGCCATAGAGCAATTTAAATAATAGTGAGGTCTCTTGCTTTGCGCAATTTCTCAAGACGCGTGCCAAATTTCGAGGCAATCGGCCCCTCCCCCCCCCCCCCCCCCAGTCAGGGAGGTGCTCAAAATAGCCCAGTTAAGTACGGGTTAAGTAACGGAACATATTTCAAGTGGTTCTTGACATATCATGACAAGTCCTATACATGTAGTCTGAAATTTTCAAGTTGACCTCTATGACCTTTGACATACATGTACTCCAAAATCTAATCTGATCGTTTTCCTATGGTGATATATATACTATCCTTAAGTTTGAAGTTTAAATCTCCAGTGGTTCTTGAGATATTATGATAACAATCTCAATGTATGGAATTTCATAAGTTGACCTCTGTGACCCTTGACCTTTGACCTACGTGCTCCAAAATCTAATCAGATCGTCTTCCTATGGTGATACATACTATCCTTAAGTTTGAAGTTTAAATCTCAAATGGTTCTTGAGATATCATGATAACAATCTCAATGTATGGAATTTCATAAGTTGACCTCTGTGACCCTTGACCTTTGACCTACGTGCTCCAAAATCTAATCAGATTGTTTTCCTATAGTGATACACACTATCACTAAGTTTGAAGTTTAAATCTCCAGTGGTTCTTGAGATATCATGATAACAATCTCAATGTATGGAATTTCATAAGTTGACCTCTGTGACCCTTGACCTTTGACATACGTGCTCCAAAATCTAATCAGATTGTTTTCCTATAGTGATACACACTATCACTAAGTTTGAAGTTTAAATCTCCAGTGGTTCTTGAGATATCATGATAACAATCTCAATGTATGGAATTTCATAAGTTGACCTCTGTGACCCTTGACCTTTGACATACGTGCTCCAAAATCTAATCAGATCGTCTTCCTATGGTGATACATACTATCCTTAAGTTTGAAGTTTAAATCTCAAATGGTTCTTGAGATATCGCGCTAACAAACTCAATACAAGGAATTTCATAAGTTGACCTCTGTGACCTGTGACCTTTGACCTACGTACTCCAAAATCTAATCAGATCGTCTTCCTATGGTGATAAATACTATTCCCGAGTCTTAAGTTTAAATCTTAAATGGTTCTTGAGATATTGTGATAACGGTCAAACGGGACGGACGTACGGACGGACGGACGGACGTACGGATGGACGGACGTACGGACGGACGGACGTACGGACGGACAACCCGAAAACATGATGCCTCCGGCACCACCTTCGGTGGCGGAGGCATAAAAAGGAGTAAAAAAAAAAAGGAGTAAAAAAGGAGTGAAAAAGGAGAAAAGAAGGAGGAATGGTGAATGTGACTTCTGCTCTCTATAAATATATTATTGTTGATGTTGTTGTTTTGGGTGTTTTTGTTGTTGATGTTATTATTATGGTAATGATTAAGATGATGAAGATTATGATTATGCTGATGATAATGATTATCATAATTATTATCATTATAATAATATGAGCATTTTGACACTCACATTCGTTTGTTCCATAGCTATGCTCTCCATTGTAAGGAAGAGAGTGTGTTTGGACTGGTCCAAGAAATCTCCTTGCTTCTCCAGTGTGTCTACTGTGATCTCATCAAGTGGTTTACCCTCTGTCTCCATAGATGCCAACACATGGAGCATCTACATCAAATCCAAAGCAAAGACAAAAATTTGCATTTTGATAAGTTTGAAGAGTTTGAGTTTGAGTTTGAAGTTTATTATTATCCAAACAAAAAGTACATTAATATTACAATCAAATGTGAATGGCTATTAAACGTTGAAAGGATAAATTTTATTGCATTGACGACTTTTGTCAATGTCTTGTTCTGAATTCTTCTTATTCTTCTTCTTCTTCCCCAAAATCCCATTCGTTTTGCATGTAGCGCTTGTGATCCCTATCTAGGTCCCTTCCTTTATCCCGATTCCTTTCAAATTTCACAGTCATAGTCTCTAGCATCCTATCCTATCAAGGTCCAAAAACACTCTTGCGTGACTGTCCAAGTGCCGTTTTGTCTTTTCAGGCCGATTTTGAAGCCTTTCTTTAATTCTGCCTACCGTACCTATCTACACTCTTCTAGATGCTACATACTTCTAATTAATTGATTTGGATAGTCCCGAGAGAAGCTCTTTCTTCTGTTAAGTGAAAACATTGGTGTCAATGCATATGCACATTGTTCTAATGCGATTGCAGTTCTAGTTATTATACTGGTGCCATATTTGTATGATTTCCAAAAATAATTGTTTTGAAATATGAATGGTAAGAAACATGCAAAGGGGATAGGGCCAAACACTCAGTTTTCATCTGTTGACATATGTTTCAATTCCTTTTAAAATACAAACTTGGTCAACATTTTTTAAATTGAATAATGTTAAAAATGATGAAAATGCAAACATACCATTGCTTTCGCAAAGAGAGCGTTTGGTGTTTTTGCCCTGGCCAAGTATGATAGCGCCACAAGGTGTTGACCTTTCTCGAAGAGGGATTGCGCGATCACTACAGCGCCCTCCTCCAGCAACTCAGCAACGTTACTATCCTGCAGAAAAAAAATGGGTAATTATGAAATCATAGTACATCTAGGGAATCACTGGACACCGAATGAAGTTTAGTGGTAAAGGTTTGGAATAGACCTTAGTTATATTGCACCTGGTATTTCAAATCCAAAGAAATTGACATGTACAAATATTCCAACTACACACTGTTTAATTTCTTATTAAAAGTGTTAGAATATTGATTACAAAGCAGGTTTTGTTACTCAAATCATGAAATTCCCATAAGGAGGCGCGATAGCTCAGTCGGTAGAGCAGTGGTTTCGTATTCCTGCAACCCAGGTTCGAAACCAAGTCGATGCGCTAGTATACCCTTTGGTAAGGCATTAATCCTCATCACCAGGTCCCTCGGAGAGGACCTAAAGCAGTCGGTCCTCTGGTTGCTTGCTAACAAGCACTTAGCAAGATATAGCAACCACACACTCTAATACATAAACATGAGAAGACTTTTCTATTGTTCCCAGGTAAATCTATTGTACAGCACTGTACGCTCCACCGATGACCTGGTAAGGCAGTATCAGAGACGCCAAGTTCAAAGATCAGCTATGCATGACACTTTCATGACTCGGTGCACGAGTGCGCAGGCAAGGGTATAACGGATATAGGCCATTGGAGTTGGCCCATATGGGTCCCACTACAAATCTTGGGTGCAAAATCTTATGGAGCCCATAAGGGTATGCCCATGTGGGACCCATATAGAAAGAAACCCATAGATAATGTCCATATGGGATAGCCCATATTTTGCCCAATTATTACTAACAAGGTTTCTCCATATAGGGCCCAGGGTGAGATGGCCCATATGGATTCCATACAAAGTTTGGGTGCAAAATATTATTGGACTGATGTGGGACACATGTCTTACTTACACAAGTGGGGCCCAGGTTACACCCATATAGACCATCTGGGTTGGCTTATATTGCTTGCATACAAATCTTGGGTGCAAAATCTACAAGGATAGTTTTGAGCCAATTTCGCCCAGGCACCGAGTGGCGGCCGCCTGGGCACCGCTTGTTTTGTAGGGCATCGCTCGGTCTCTACTGAAGTTTTAGTGCAGAGTTAAAATTCGGGCGGCGCCTGCTCACTTTCACTCGCCGCCTAAAGTACGCTCGGCGCCTGGGCAGTCGCCGTCCGGGCACCGACCTAACCGTGCGTTCGCCGTCGATCGATTAAGGTAAAAAATCGAAGCCGCTAGGTCAAAGGCTGCTGAGCGTTCGCCGCCCGGTCGCCGCTTGGAGATCAGTCGGTCACTGGGTGGCGAGTTCAAAATCGGTCAGCAACCTTTGACCTAGCGGCTTTGAATTTTGACCTAAATCGCTCCACGACGAACGGTCGATTAGGTCGGTGTCCGGGCAGCGAACGCCCGGGCACCGAGCGTATTTTGGCGGCCCGCCGATCATCGGTCGGCGGTCGGGCAATTTCCTTAAAATTAGCCGGTGGCCGGTGGGAGACGACTCGGGTATCAGTGGGTCATCGGTCGGTCACTGCCGGGACGCCGCCCGGAGAAGGTCTCCGATTTTGCCCAGTTTTGACCTAAAATCAACCGACGACTGAAGGGAAATCGACAGGGCACCGCCCAGGCATCGCTGGGCCTCTACAGCCTGCTCGACTTCTCCAAAAAATCGTTGGGCGATGCCTAAATTCCAGCGGCGACCGAGCAGGCTACTAATCGGTCGGTCGCTGCTCTGATTTGTGACCATAGCTTAACATGAACAAAATCACTGAATCATGACATGAAGCCTCCTCCTGAATAGAATGAACGCCTAAAAAAATATATATATAATTTTTGAAAACTAGCATATACGTGCACCAACTTCAAATTTGACTGAGTGATTGTACTGCAAAGAAGGCAATTGTTGTGCTACAATAAGTCAGAGTAGACAGAGAGAGAGAGAGAGAGAAGAGAAAACTGTGGAAAATAAATGAGCTAGAGCTTACCTCCATTGGCTTGTGCACATTTGAAAACATCGGCTCATTGGGGATGTAGATCTGCTTGATAACTGGTAAGAGACAAAAAAAAAGTCATTTGTAATATAACAGTAGAAAACTCTGACCTCCAACAGTTGGACTGAAGCTGAATTCAAATTTTGAAAAGGATATGTTCCCAATATCAGGATTAAAATAATACAAATCATGGGCCCTGAAACCATCATTAATCAGAATAAATAAAATATTCTTCTTTATAAACTGTCTCACAAATTAGCAATTCCACAACTTATGTGATAAAAATGTATGAATGCTATTCATTAACTCGTGAACTTCTTGTACAGTGTATATTTCATATGAATTTTAAAGGAGTATATGTATTTGAGAACTGGTAATAAAAACACATTAACAAAACAAAACTGGTAATATCATTGCCCTCTCATCTAGAAGATTTACAATTAAAACAAATCTATATCTTTGTCTCAATAAACATTATGATCCAACACATGTGTAATAGTTGTTTGGTTCGTTTCTGATTATTTTATTTGTGGGTTCTAATTAAGTGAAGGATTGTGACTTAACAGATTTATGGCAGGATTTTAACAGGTTAACAGGTTAAACGTTTAATCATCGTATGGGAGTGTAATGTAGAAAACTCGGGGGAGGGGGGGGGGGGCATGCGGCATGCTTTGAATAACATATTCATATATAAAATTACTTTTTCTTTTTAATTAAGTTTCCTATTGTGAATACAAATCTATATCTTTGTCTCCATTAACATTATGATCCAACACATGTGTAATAGTTGTTTAGTTAGTTTCTGATTATTTTATTTGTGGGTTCTAAGTGAAGATTGTGACTTGACAAATTTCTGGCAGGAATTTAACAGGTTAACAGGTTAAACGTTTAATCATCGTATGGGAGTGTAATGTAGAAAACTCGGGGGAGGGGGGGGGGGGAGCATGTGGCATGCTTTGAATAACATATTCATATAAAATTACTTTAAAAAAAAATTAAGTTTCCTATTGTGAATACAGAGTCCAGTCTTTGTGACTTAAAGTTCTGAATATTCATATAACATCATCTTGTAGTCATTTGAAGTCATCAGGATATCAAAATATTGTCAAAAATTTTGAGATTTTTCTGCTTTCTTTTAGAGTAGTTGTCTATTTGGGTTAGATTTCCCTTTAAGCATCATACTTTGCATTTGGGGTATGTATGGTGGTCTTAATATTAATTTGCAAGCGAAACAAGCACGTAAATATTTCAAGATATGTGAGATCGCAGTGCGAGAAAAAATAATCATATAAAAGGGAAAAAAAAAACAAATCCTGATGTTTTTAAGCACAAGCAAATTGTGAAAGATCATAAGATGGAAAAGACTTTTTATAAGTAACATGATTATATTAAAGCAATCAAGCTTTGGAAGAAATTAAAGAAACAAGTAACTCCCAAGAGTCGTTTTAAATATAAGGAGTGCATGCTATGAAGAAAGGTGGGGGGGGGGGGAGTGGCACTTATCAGAGGGGAAAGGGGCCCTTATAGATATAGGAATGGAAAGTGGGAACATGTAAAAAAAAAAAAAAAAAAAAAAAAAAAAAAAAAGTGCGCTTATTAGAAGGGGCACTTCTTACAAAGGAAAAAAGGCACTTGTCAAAGTAAAAGGGGCACCTTTCCCATGTAAAAATTGGTGAACACTTTCACTTTTGGGGTACCCAAAAAAGTGTTGGGGGGGGGGGGGCAGTGTACCCCCTGCACCCCCCCCCCCGAAATATTGGCTGGCGCGATTTTTTTTTTCGGTAAAAAAAAAAAAAAATTGTGCTCAATTCCCCTTACCCCCTCCCCGGAGTGCCGCCTCTGTAATGTCCCTAATGTAAGGACTTTTCTGTTTTTCTGATCATAAAGTACTCACAGACTGGAGACCAGAAACGGCAGCGTCATCTCCCGGGAGCTTCGTGCGGCCGGGCATGCAGCTCAAACCGTTTAACCGCTGACATTTCTTGGTTGAAATCTTCGTCAAATTAGAGCATTCTTTCATGCAGTCACTGATAGTGATACTCATCGCCATTGTAGTTGTTGTTTGGTTTGCTTCTGATTGTTGGTGGGTTCTATAAAGTGACGCGATTGTGACTTTCCCCCGGACTTTCCAAGTTACGAATTTAGGCAGGAATTAATAACGTGTAGTACAATCGACGTTCAATCACGTATCTGAATACAGTGTAATGTCTTGGACTTCGGGGCCGTGGAGGGGGGGGGGGGGGGGGGGGGGTCTAATTGTAGCATGCGATACACATGCCTTGTGAAAGGATTATCTGTACAAAATTTGGAAACTAATTATTGTTGTTAATGTGTTTATGTCTAGCGCTACACAAATCAATTTGCAAATCTATGATTTCCCTTTCGCGCAACTATAACCTGTTTTTGTTTCAGATAAAACTAGGCCTTCATTTTGCTTTTTAATTTTTCCATACATTTATAACCTCTGCCTAAAATTGGCCAGAGATACATTTTCATAAGATCGAAATAGATTAAATAAAAACAAAAAGGTTTTGCGCAAATGTAGTTTGTAAACGGGGATCTGAAAATCCTTCTTTTTTTTGGCAGGGTATGCCATATCGAACTTCATTCTTTGTAATATAGAATCAGGCAACATGAAAATACCCAGATTATAGAGAAATATATCCGACACATATAGGCTGAAAGGTTATTATTGAAAAATGGTATATTTTTATATGACCGAAAAACCAATATTGTGAATTATTATCAAAGCTCTTTTTTAAATGACCAATATGACAGTAATTCATAGTTTACAACGTCAGCAATAATATTTGGATTTGGATCGATGAGTAAATAAATATTGGAATCATCGGCAAACATCATGAATGGCAAAATGGTGGAGGAATTAGTGTGGAAATAATTGATGTTGTAGAAACAAGAGCAGTCAAAGGAGTGATCCTTCCGGATTGTTGTGTGCGTGTTGGGGGTATACCACTGACCTCTAGTGGTAGAGGTCAGTGGTATATACTAATGTCAAAATAATTGTATATTTTCGATTTGAGATTTCCCTTTTTACGTGCCCTTCTTTTTTGAGAAAGTGCTTTTTTGGTGAACCCCGGCCCCCACCATCTTTGGAAGTCACTCCGCCCCTGATCGTGCTTTATTATTATTAATATTATTAGGT